ATTTTTATCTTGTGCTTTGGCCTGGAGGATATTCCTCTCCTGCCTCATATTGTCTAACTTTCTATTTGTATTTTTAGGCAGGTTAGTTACTTTCTTGACCTTGAAAAAGTGGCCCTCTGTGGGAGACATCCTATGCATCCCAGCAGTACACTTCTCTCTTGTCACCCAAGGGCCAGGATCCAGCGGGTCCCAGGGTAGAGTCTGGCAGATTCCTTCCACAAGCTTTGGGATCATTGTTTTCTTGTTTCTGGTATCTGCCTCCTGGTGGATGAGGCTAGACTAGAGGCTTATGCAGGATGCCTGGCAGGAGGAGTCGGTGCCTGCCCATTGCTCAGTGGAGCTTGGTCCTGGCTCTCTGGTGGGTAGGGCCATGTCTAGTGGCAGGTCTAGAAGTGTTTGAGGGCTCAGGAAGTCTGCTGATGGGTGGGACTGCGTTCCCACCCAGTATGCTGTTTGGCCTGAGGCTTAATAAAGCTTTTTTTAAAAGAGTAATGATACAGAGCTCTTTTAAATTGAAGTATAGTTGATTTACAGAGCTGTGTTAGTTTCTAGTGTACAGCACAGTGATTCAGTTACATATATATATATATATATATATATATATATATATATTCTTTTTTATCATAGGTTATTACAAGCTGTTGAATATAGTTCCGTGGTATACAGTAGGACCTTGTTGTTTTGATATTGAGTTCCTATTCAAGAATCTTTTGGCTCTTCTCGGTCATTTGCTCTTTCATATTAATCTTATACTGAACTTTTAAAATTCCTCCAAATAACCTATTTGCACTATAATGTTGGTTGTGAATGGCAGAAGGCTCAAAAAATGGTGATTTAAATAAGAAAGAGGTTTCATTTCTCTCTTTCTTATTCCTCTCTTTCTGTTCCTAGAACAGGTCAACTTCTTTCCTGCTTTAGGGCCTTTGCACTCTCTCTCTACCTGAAATTCTTTTCCAACACAACCAGTTCCTCCTATCCTCAAGGTCCTTATATGTCACAGTCTCAGAAAGTCTTCCACTAACTTCTCAGACTGAGGTAGGCTGTCTTTGTTATTCTCTATCACAGTACCCTGATTATTATCACAATTTTCATTCCTTTACTTAGCCATTATTCACTGAAAACCTTCTGTATGAAAGGTACTGTTCCAAGGGCTATGAACTCCTCATTATTTATACTTATTGTAATTATATGTTTATTGTTTTGCCAGCCCACTGCCTGACTCTCTTCCTGGAATAGAAGTTCCAAGACCATATCTTTTTGATTATCACTGTATCCTCTGACTTTAGCGTAGTAACTGGCCTATGGTAGACAATAAACATTTGTAGATTGAATGTATAAAATACCAGCTCAAAATATTATTTTCCTTCTATTCAAGATTAGGGACATGAATAAGGCAATTGTCTCAAAGGAGAAAAAACTTGATAGAAAACTGAATTATTATTATTTACAAAACAAAATAAATCAGATCAAAGATTTTTTTTTTCTTAACCTCACAAAACATAGACATAGACTCAGTCTCCAGCTCCCAGCAAACAGGCAACCTCCATCTTGAACCTTGGTAAGGAACCTCTGCTAGGCACACTCACCTTTTCTTCCATGTTCCTTTTGTACATAGATGACCATATCATTCAGTGTCCGAACTGGAATCCTTATGAGAGATGAAGGTGAGAAACTGTATATACAAATGAACAATGGCCAGACCCTGTTGAAAAAAAAAAAAAACCAGAACTCTAACTTAGAAGCTGCAGCAACCAAGCCCAGGAAACCAGCTTATTATCTGCAGCAACCAAATCAGGAAGCCAGCCTGCTATCCACAAGTCAGACTTGTAGGAAATCAGAACACTATCTCTAGCAAAGAATCCAGGAAGCCAAACAATAAACCCTGTAACATTGGCCCCAAATGTCCAGGATTCCATTGACAGCTTCCCTAATTTTTGTCCATGCTTCAAACTTAGGACGAACTAGAGAAAGCTAAGTACACTTTCCTAACTAGTCACATAACTGCTTCCAATTAGTTCTCCCAGAACTTCCCTGTCCCAACAGACTTCAAGCAAGGCATATCTGAAGCCTTCCCTTTTTCAGCTATAAAGCTTTCCCAGTCCTTTGCCTGCCTTAGAGTCTCTGCCAATATGCAAGTGACGGTGGCCAAGTCCCTTGTTACTATTGCAAGCTCTGAATAGTCTTTGCCTGTTCTCATTTGGGTGCTTTTCATTTATTTCCACAAAGGGAATACTATTAATAATCATGCTGAATCAAGAGGGAAAAATCAGGACTGTCTTGAGTAAATTAGGACATAGGTCACCCTAGTTAAAAAGGACAGTTGGACAAGTGGCTGTTTGCTTGAGATACAAAATTTGGAAGGGCAAAGGTGTGAAGAACAGAAGGTAAAATGTGCCACTACCACTAGGTGGGGTTGCACCATCAAAGAATGGAGGACTTTTCAATTACTGCAGGAAGTTCTTGAGCTGGACATGCATTCAGTAATCTTTTTAGTTTAGAGGTATAGTACTGTAAAATCTGAATACTGGAATTGAAGTAAAATTGTCTTCAGGGTGACAATTACTGGAAATAATTCCAATGAAAAAAAGGTCTAGCATACCATTATTGATACTTACTATTAACTCACTTTCAACTATTGCCTTGTGCGCTGATGCAGTAAACTCCTTGTCCTTAACAAGTTTGCACTCTAGAGTACTTAAGGTCCACATGAGTTACCTAACTGGGAGAGCCCAGTGCACAATTAAAATAAGGGACAACTAGTTCAAAAAGTATTAAGAATTTCCTGATAGCAACAGCTAAGCATTAAACCAAGGGTGGAGCCCTTCTGAGCACAAAGCCCTTTGCAGCTGCACAGATCACACACCCATGAACCCAACCCTAAATGTAGAACAGTATTCTACAACAAATTATAGACTAACAAACTACACTGTTTATTGTATATGTTGTAATGCTGCTGGAGCCTTCAGTCTCTTACTTTATGTGATACTTTGGCATGCACGGAATTATATTACATTTAAAAAGTTATTGCATATTGAATATATTTGTGCTATTGGCTGTAGGGAATCTTTGCTAAAGTTTAATATAATCAAGCGCATAAATACTTGATCTAATTTAAAATGTTATAAAAAGTTACAACTAGAATTATTTTGCTTTTCCCTACATGACTCAAGGGGAGGGCAGAAACTAATACTGGTAGGTACTCAATGAACACTTGTCGAATGAATGAAAGGAGGGTTCAATGGGTGAAGATTTTAACAAAGAGAGATATCAGGAAAGGCTGTAAGGGAGATGGTTAGCTAGGATTCTGAAACTTATAGGCAAGCCAGGATGGACATTGTAGATAAGGGGAAAAGTCAGTGAAAGCAAAGTTTTGTGTATAGTTTGTCTGTTTATTATCATTATCTTCCATAGGCCCCATAGAAACAAGAATCTTTTCTGTTTCTTCATAGCTGTACCCAGGGCCTGTGACATAGTAGCCCCTCAGTAAATATTTATTGACTGAATAAATGCAGGCAATGTTACTTAGCTAAATGCAGAATACCTATATACTGAAGAAGTAAAAAATGAGGTTGGAATCTTATTGATCAATATTTGAATATCAGAGTGAGAATCTATACTTTATCCTGTGTACAGATAAGAACCATTTAAAAGAGCAATGGTAGGCTCTGAACTCTGAACAGAATATAAGTCAGTGGTATTCCCAACTAGAAGATTAAATTATCTGCTGTTGACTGAAAAAAATGCATAACCTAAAAGTTGATAATTATATTTTATCCAGCAGACTTACTGAGGACTATAGCCTGAGAACCAGCCTTTCAGATAACTCTGAGAAACTTCCAAAGAGATAAGGGAGGGGTAAGGATATACAGGAGTTTTTGCTGGAAAACAAACAAAACCCATGTAGTTGAATATCAAAAGATTACTGCTAATCAAAAAAAAAACCACACATCTCAAGTTAATGATTTGAGTGCTTTTCTCTATACGGGAAGATGCAAGAGTATGGGCTTTTTGAAATTATTCCTTTGATATGTACCTTAACTATCTAGGGCCAGTATCCTGTTTTTCTGCATCCTGAATTCCCCTCAGGTTCGGGGTGGCTGCAATGGCTGATGGCTTTATGACCACAACATCCTTTATTTACTGTAATGGCAGGCAACATTTTGTCCACACTGTCAACATCTCTCTGCCTTCTCTTAATTTCATGTCCTTGCCTTGCCTCTCCATAGCCCAATACGTGACTTAGACTCCACTATAAGCCAAATAAGACCTCAAGTAAGAAAACTGAAAACGCGATTAAAACTAGCAAACAAGCAAACTAAAGCTGGTTAATTTTTTGATAATTGTCCCTTTCTTTGTGTCTCCTTAGCTGCAGGATAAATTTCTCGGGGGCAAATACATACATTTAATAAAATTCTGGGCAGTTTCTAGGCCAAGATGGAGTCTGCCAATGGATTTGCTCAATGAATTACCTGTCGAAAACAGCATAAGATCGAATGATTTCCAAATGTAACAGATGATTTAGTTACCTGGGTAAACCAGTCTTTCCTTTTGACACCTAGCCCCTTTGTGGTGCGTCAGTGAATCATGGGGTGGAAAGGCAAACAGCAGGATGGTGGTGTTTTTACCCTAATCTAATCGTCCTAATTATTTGTTTTGATTTTGTAAGATTCTTGGTCAAAACTAACTATGCATGCAAATGAGGTGTGGCTGGAACGCCTGGAAAGTGACAAACGAAACCTGTTACCAACAGACGAAGCGACCAAGCCAGGGCGGGAACTTCCCCGCAGCCGCCGCATGCGCGTGTCCGCCCAATTGGGAACAATAAAGTTGAGCGTGTTCAAAGGGGTCCTTGTCATCCAAGGCCTGTTGACAAGCCTGTAAAATAATACTTCTAAAAACTCCCTACTGTTTCCAGGTCTTCTCCTTGTTCTTGGCAGTTTTTTTCCCCTCACTCGCGGTACAAAAATCGTGAGCGGATCGGCCCGGCCTAGGCCGGTTGCGGGGCATTTCGAGGGCGGCTGGCCCGGCGATCGCCGCGGGCAGCCTCAGGGAGGCCCCCGGCTCCAGTGAAGCCGAGGCTGCGGCGTCGGAGACAGGCGCGATGAAGCCCAGACCCGCCAGGTTCGTGGATAATAAGCTGAAGCAACGTGTCATCCAGGTCTGTACCCTGTTCCGCAGAGCCTCACAGCGGTCTCCGTTCGCTGCTCAAGGGCACCGGAGGCCCTTTCTTGGGCGGCTCCCAGGTGGAACTCGACTAGCCGCCTACTCTGGCCTGGGTTCGGGCGTGGGGCTGTTTGACACCTCCACTCCTCCTCGGGTGGTTCAAGGCCTTCCCTCTATACTGTGGGGCGGGGTTTCAAGGAGGGGCCGGGGACTGTGGGAGGCTGCTGCTTGATGAGCCGGGCCTGCTGGGATCTGGTCGACCTCAGCGGAGATCAGTAAGGGGAGAGGTGATGGCCTTTGAGTTTAAATCTTCCTGTCTTCTGAAGTTGGGAGAGAAAGGAAATGTGGAAGGGGCCGCTTTGGGGGCCATAAAAAATACGTTAATGTCCATTTCCAAGAAAATGGGGTCACTTGGGACACCGTAAAAATAAGTATTCTAGATCTGACTTTGTAATAGACACTTTACCTATAGATTTTTTTCCTCCATTTTCATAATCATCAATAGAAAGCATTCTGCGGTAAATGTCTGGGAATGGTACAGTAATGCACGCAATCTTAGTTAGAAGAAAGGGAGAGAGACCTGAAGAGCTGTGTATACTCTCTTTGTTTTTCTTCTACCGGCCTCTATACAATCTCCTTTTTTCCCTTCCTACCATCCCTTCCTACCATCTTTAAATGTTGGAAGTGCTCTGAGACCCTGAGCTCTTACCTTCTCTTTCTTTATCCTCTTACTCCTCTCTTACCTGTCTACACTTTTAGGTGGTCCAGTCTAAAACCTTTAAATACTATCTATACATTCATGATTCCTAAATTTATTTTTATATTATAATCCAGTGCAGATTAAACTTGAATTCTGGATTGATATATCCAGCTACCTATTCAGCACCTCTTGAGGGTCGGATAGTTATCTTCAACTTAACATATCCATACGGAACTTTTGATACTCTCCTCCAAACCTGTTCTTTCTTCGTGTTCTCTAATTCAGTAAATCACATCACCATCCATCCATTTGTTAAGACCAGAAACCTTAAGAATCATCCTGATACTTGTTTCCTGTAACCAGTTAAGTAGTTAGCAACCTATTTGGCTTTACCTTCGAAATATGTTTCAAACCCAACCACTTTTTACCATCTCCTCTTCTAACCATCCTAGTCCAAACCCCTCTCTCTATTAGGCTATTGCAGTAGCCTTCTAACTCATCTCTCTGATTCTAGTTTTACTTAAAGGCTTTTCTCCGCAGAGCAGCTAGGGAGATCCTTTTAAAGGGAAAATTGGAGTTTGCCAGGGCCCTGCTGAAAACCTTTTGGAGGACTCAGACATTTGGAGTAAAACCCATCCTCAGAAGCCCTCCTTATTTTGGCCCTTGTCTACCTTTTTGTCCATTGCTTTTTTTCCCCTTTTGCTCTCTGCCTTGATTACACTGTCCTTTCCACATGGAACTTCCCAGCATGCCGAGCGTAGGACTTTTGCTCTTGCAGTTCACTCACTCTCAATTACTGTTGCTTTGAATGTTTGTGCAATTTGCTTCTTCACTTTATTCAGGTTTCTGAGCAGCAACGCCTAATGGCTGAAGCCAGTGGTCTCTTCCCGGTCCTCGCCACACTTGACTGCTCTTCAGCATTTGACGTTAGCAGTTTTCCTCTATTGCTTTTACTTTGGTTCATTATTAAACTAATGGGTTCTTATGGTTTAAAATAAAAGACGGTATAAAAGTGAAAAGAAAAAATTCCTTTCATCTCCACTCCACTTCTCCATAGGTAACCTAGAGAGTTTCTGTTGTATTTTTCTTAAAATTTTGTATGCATACATGCACTTAGTAGATATATTAATTTCATTATAAATCACAAACATGGGCTCATCTGCATCTATTCTGCTGCTTGCTTGTTTCACTAGCAGTATATTTTAGACATCTTTCTACAAGTAGTACATTTGCCTCCTTTTAGCATATTAGTTATCTATTGCTGCATGACAGATTACTCCCAAACTTAGTAGATTAAAGTGGTTTTAGTTCTGTTGCTTTTTAGTTTGCAGTGGGTATAAGATAAATATATGTATATATAATTCAGAATTAACTAGTAAATGACAGCATGCTATAGGAGTCCAAAGAAGGGGAAGACTAACTAGAATAGTCCAGCTTTGGACACCTAGTCTCTTGTCATTGGAGGCATTTATGCAGACACTGTTACCAGTGTTAGGGATCCTTGAGAAGAAATTGCTGTGTAAAGTGGGGAACCTAAACTAGATAACTAGCAAGTATTGAAACTTAGAAGTTGTTTCATTCCAGATTTGAAATCTGACCCTGTAACTTATGTGCTGAAAGGCAAGTAATTAACCTTCTAAGCCCTCATGTAAAATGGGAGAGACTAACATGAACATCATAGGATTGTGAGTACTAAAAGAGACAGTGTGTAAAAGGCCCCCTAGAACAGGTTTACCAGGCTCTTGGTTTCTCAGTAGATTTTTCATGGTGCTCCTAGGCCAAAAATAATACCTAATAGGTCTGTTTATTAAGTAGTTAGGCTCAAGCAACTTAATAACTATTTAGTCCAAATAACTTAGTAGCTCTTTGAAAAAAAATAATATATAGAAATTGAAAGAAAGTTAATACATTTGTATTTATTTCTTAAATAACCACAGTTACTTAGTAGTGGGATTTATGTGCCTGTTGGGCACTGCACAGCTTCTCACACCTTGTGATGAGATTAACACTGCAGCTCTCATTTCCTGTTCTGCATTTTTCTTACTGCGAATGCTGAAAACCCAGTTTTGCAAAGACAGAACATCATCAAAAGGTGATTTAATATTGAAACCATGTATTGTTTCAGGTTAGTGCAGTTGACCCTTGAACAACGTGGGGGTTAGGGATGCTGACCTCTGCTCAAATCTGTGTATAACCTTACAGTTGGCTTTTCATATCTGTGGTTCCTCATCGGCAGATTCAACCAACCCGGGATCATGTAGTACTCTAATAGATATTTCTTGAAAAAAAAATCTATGTATAAATGGACTGGTCAGTTCAAACCTGTGTTGTTCAGGGATTAAGAGTAGTTCCTGTCATGTTGGACAGATGTCAGTATTACTGTGTTGCCTCAACTTTAAAATATCCCTTGGAGTCCTTGTGAGTTTCATCTTTATTCTGATATTTTGGGAACCTAGGATATAGTTAAGTCCTCACCTACTACCTTATAGCTATTCTAGTTACTGTTCTTGTGTTGTCATGGTGATTAATAACAGTTAAATTCTTTGATTTGACTTAATCAGTGATTTTTATGTATATTTCTGGTATGCTTTATTGATGAAGAGTTTACATTAAAGTATAACATGTTTGAAAAGCTCAGTCTATTATTTGTTGATTAAAATCACCAAGTTTGAAATATTATTTCATATTTATTGTGTTTTCTGTTTTAGTACCTCACCAGTAACAGATGTGGCAAATATGTGGACACTGGAGTTTTAGCATCTGATTTACAAAGAATGTACAGGTAAAGAAATTTTGCCTCCAGATCTTGCTTTTCTTTCTTACCATTGAAAAAAAGAAAAAAAATTTTTAATGGAGGTACTGGGGTTTGAACCCAGAACCTTGTGCATGCTGAGCATGTGCTCTACCACTGAGCTATATACCCTCCCTCTTCTTTCCTACCATTTTTGAAGTTTTTGTTCTGCTTACATTTCCAATTGATGTTAATAGCCGGCATTAGTTTACCAGTCCGTAAGTTTATAATTCAATTTATTAACACAAACATTTGTCAAGCACCTGTTATATACAGTATGCTGTCCTTGTTACTAAGGGGAATGACTCCTTATGTTTCAGTACCTTATTGCCTGTTCAGGAGTATTACTTCTTTTCTTGCTTCATTAAAAAATTAGTGGAGGAAGGGCATAGCTTAGTGATAGAGTACATGCCTAGCACGCAGAAGGCCCTGAGTTCAGTCCCCAGTACCTCCATTAAAATAAGTAAAAACCTAATTACCCCCGCCCACCCCACCCCCAAAATTAAAATTATCAGGCATGATCTCCCTCAACTTCTTGACTATAAAAATGTATCACTTGTTTGGTCTTTCCACTGAAGATTAAATCCTTCTCTTGTGCCTCTTATCCTGCCTCTTCTGATATTTTACCTCCTTAATTATCTCTGCTTTGTATATTTCAGTGTCTATTTTCTTCCTCTCTTTAGTCTGTATGTTAGTTTGTTAAGGCTGCCATTAAAAAGAGACTAGGTGGGTTAAACAACAGAAATTTAATTTTTTAAAGTTGTGGAGGCTTCAAGTCCAAGGTCAGGGCATTGTCAGGACTGGTTTCTTTTGAGATCTTTCCCTGACTTGCAGATAGCTGTCTTCTCCTTATGTCTTCACATGGTCTTTCCTCTGTGTGTCTCTGTATCCTAATCTCTTCTTGTAAAGACATCAGTCATCCTGGATTAGGGCCTATACAGATGATGACCTCATTTTACCTTAGTTACACCTTTACAGACCCTATCTCCAAATACAGTCACATCCTGAGGTACTGAGGATTAGGACTTAAATGTGAATTTTGGGGGGATACAATTCAGCCTATAACATTGGGCTTCTTGCCCCCCAAAATTCATGTCTTTATTGTTTACAAATACATTCACTCCATACCAGAGACTCCAAAGGTCTTAACCTATTGACATCAACTCTAAATCCAAAATCTTATCTGAATATCATCTAACTCAGGCATGGGTGTGACTGGAGGTATGTTTTCTCCTGAGGCAGAATTTGTCTCAAGCTGTGAACTTGTGACATCAGACAAGGTATCTGTTTCTGAAATACAATAGTGGGACAGGCATAGGATAGACATTCTCATTCCAAGAGGGAGAAATTGGGTCATAATCTCAAGCGAGTACGAAACCTAGCAGGGCGAGCCCCTCTTTAGCTCAGCGCTCTGCCAGATGCTCTCCCCCGCGGGCTCACTGGGGTGACTGCCCTGCCTGGAACTGAGGAGGAGACAGTGCCTTTCCTTGGGCCTGTGCCTCTGGGTGTGTGGTGTCAGTGGTAGCCCTGCCAACTTTGGAGCCTCCTTTGGAGTCCTTCTTCCCTTTTCTTGAAGGATAACGTATTCGCAGCTGCATTGCTGTTTTGGCCTGTCTTGTAGAATCCAAAAAGTCCAACGGCCTTCCTTCATTTCATCCCTTCTCTGTCTTCTTCAGTATAAGCTGGCAATGTTGCTGCTGCTATAACCTCATTTTTAATCAAGAAAAATTACAGTAGTAAAAATACAAAGTCAGAAGTTGTTTGGAAATAGGTTATTGTCAGTATGAATACAATGGCATAATCGTATATTCTTGCAAATTTATGTGATCAATTTAGATTGAGCTTAATGGAAAAATACTGATGAGGACCACTATACTAAACTTCTTGTTATATTTTCCAGTATAGACTATGGTCGAAGAAAAAGAAATGCTTTTAGGATTCAGGTAGAAAAAGGTGAGTCTTTTAGTGGTAGACCTGAATTATTAATAAAACCATAGAAAGAATTGCCTTAGCTCATGGCTTTTCCTTTTTGTTTCAGTATTTAGCATAATTAGTAGTGAAAAAGGACTTCAGGACCTAGCAGAATTAGAAGATGAACACCTGGCCAAAAGAGCAAGACACAATGAAGAGGATAATGAGTAAGGATTACAGAATGGAGGGTTTTTCCCTAAAACATGAACCTGATCATATTTCATTGCTGCTTGTAAAACTTCTAGTCGCTCTTCATTGCCAATGAGGCCCTGCGTTACACTTTCCTAACCTCTCCAGTCTTTTATTTCAGACGTACTGAATGCTCACTGTTCCCCAAAGAGATTAGATTCTTTCTTTGTGCCTTTGTAGGGGTAGTTTTCTGTAGCTGGAGTGTTTATTTCCTTTATAAGCTTAGCCTCGAAAGGCTATGTTACTGCCTTTTCAAGCCTTTTTGGACTCCTTTCTCAGTGTTTCCTTAACTCCTAGTTGAAGATATTTATTACAATGCTTCTGTCATATGGCTTGGAGATTATTTGTTTACGTGTTTGCATTACCAACAGAACTGTCTCATTATCTTTGTTTTTGTCTGCCCTAATACAATGGCAAGTACGTAAGAAGTGCCAATTAATTTTGTGTTTAGGAAGTAATATTAAGTTTTTTATAACTGTGTTGCAGTGTAATTGACATACAATAAGCTGTACATTTTTTAAATGTACTATTTGTTGAGTTTTGACGTGTATATGCTCATTAAATCATCACTGAAAGCAAGACACTGAACATTTCCATCAACCCCACAAGTTTTCTTGTGCCCATTTGCAATTTATTTCTCCTTCCATCCTGTTCTGAGACAGCCATTGATTTGCTTTCTGTCACTATATATTTGCATTTTCTAGAATTTTATATAAATGAAATAAGTGAGTATGTACTCTTAAAAATCTGGATTCTTTCACTCAGGATAATGATTTTGATATTTATCAACATTATGCGTGTCATTGTTCCATTGCTTTTTACTGCTCTGTGTGTATGTACATGCCGTGATTTTTTATCCATTTATCTATTATTAGACAGTTCATTGTTTCCACTTTTTGGTTATTAAAGATAAAGCTGCTGTCATCACTTCTGTGAAGGAGTTTATGTGGAGAATGTTTTCATTTTCTTTGGTAAATACCTGGGAGTGGAATAGCTGAGTCATATGGTACTGTGTATTTAACATTATAAGAAACTGCCAGACTATTTCTAAAGTGTGTTTCCATTTTACCTTTACATCAGCAGTATTTGAGAGTTTCACTAGTTCCACATATTACCAACACTTGATATGGTCAGTCTTTAATTTTAGAGTTTTTCATTATAAATGTGATGTTAGCTATAGGTTTTTTAATAGATGCCCTTTAGCAGACTGAGGAAGTTTCCTAGTATTCCTAGTTTGCATCTGTATTCATATTGGTCTGAATTCTTTTCCTTTCTTTTTTTGCAATATCTTTGTCAGATTTTGGTATTAGGGTTATACTGTCCTCATAATATCCATTGGAAAATGGGTTTTTTTGGGTCTCTAGTTAATGAAAAAGTTTGTGTAATATTACTATTATTTCGTTCTTGAGTGTTTGTTAGAATTCATCCTAAATTCACCCAGACCTAGAGTCTTTCTATGGAAGGGAGTTTGATAACATTTAATTTTGCAAAATTTAGGACTCTTCCTATTTATTTTTTTCTTTTATCAGAGTTGGTAGGTTGTACTTTTAAAGAAATTTGTTCATTTCACCTAAGCTGTGGCATTTGTTGGCATAAAGTTTTCAAAATATTGTCTTGTTTCCTTTTTATAACTGTAGGATCTGTGGTGATAGCTCCTTTTAATTCTTTATAGCTGCTGCTTTTGCATTTGGGTTTACTATAATTTTCACAACAGGTTTTGCATTTGTGAACATTTAGTTGTTTCTAGTTTTGCACTGTTGTACATGTAATAAATAATCCTTTAGTGCATATATCTTTGTACACATGTCTCTTTTTTATGTTAATTCCTGAGGTAGTATTTCTAGGGTCAAAAAGATTTATATTTTTGAGATTCCTGGTACATTTGGAGTTGCCATCCAAAAAAAGTTGCCTCAGTTTATATTTCCAACATCTTTGTATAAAGACCACATTTCTCTTTAGCTTTGCAATCGTAGTTGTACTATTTTTTAATCTCTGCTAGTTTTATAGACAAAAATTGATCATATAATTTTTATTTGTGATTTTTTGATAACTAGTGAGGTTAAATTTTTTTTATTGTTTCATGTTTCCTTTGTGAATTGCTTGTGTACGGGTTTTGTCTTTCACTTGAGAGCTACTTGAATTTTCCTTGTTAGTTGTCAGAGCTCTTTGTATAAAATAGCACCTCTTTTTGTATGTATTACAGATGCTTGTCACAGTTTGCCATTTGATTTTTATTTTTGTTTATAGTGTGTTTTGATTAGAGAAGTTTTGCATCTTTACCTAGTCAAATCTTTCAGTTTTTCCTTTATGGTTTATGCTGATATGTTTAGAAAAGATCTCTATGACAAGAGTATATAGAATAATTACCTGTACTTTTTTCTTATACTTTAATGCTATTTCATTTAACTCTTTAAAATTAATTTTGTTAACTTATAATTAATTTTATTTGTAGGGCATAGATTGTAGGGCAAAATAATTTTTTTCCAAATGTTTGAATAATCCACCCTTGTTACATTGATTAGAAAAGCCCCAAATTATATTAACTGAATTTAATGAATAATGACAAAAGAATTCATGTCTTAATTATAAAGGTGGGGCATAGCATTTTTTTTACTTAGGAAAAGTCCTTATTTATTTTCTAAAAAAGCTGTATTAAATAGTAGTGTAGTCCTCTAATTACTTGAAGCTATCAGATACCAACTCTCAGTAATAATGAACTGAGGCTGCATTCTCAATTTGTAGTTATTAGGATTTAATACTTGGTTTTGGCCAGATTAAATGAAAAATTCTTTGTACCTTCATTTCTCATGAATGGTCTTAGAAAAGTTACATTTGGTCACATGGCTTGGCCATGTTGAATTTGTTAGTCAAACTGCTTAATTATGGCTTGTGGGAATACTTCTTCTACTGGCATCTCACGTTCCTAAATGAGACCCGTGAATCTGATGGAAATTTGTATGTCACTTTGCTAGGATAAAGGTAACCACAAGTTCTTAAGCACTTGCTATGTGCTGAGGACTTTGCAAGCTTTCTTTCAATCCTCAGATAAACCAATGAGATGGACATTATTTATTATCTACATTTTATAGGGAAGGAAGCTGAGGTTAAGTAGAAACTGGTAACTGGTTAAGCTGGATTTTGAATCCACATTTCTCTGATTCCAAACCCTGGGCTCTTAACCACCATAATATTTTGTCTCAGTATATTTTCTCGTTTTGAGTAGTAATTTTTTAGGATGTGGGAGAAATCTTTAAAATATTTCTTTTCTTACTTTTACTAAGGTATACTGAAAGCTATTCTGATGATGATTCAAATGCAGAAGAATACCCAGATCCACAGGTAAGCCAGATGTTTAATGGACAAGCTGATTTTTTAAAAATCACTAAGAACCCTCCATAGAAAAGATCAGTAAGGAATAGAATAAGAGACTTTTGACATCTTCATCAGTAGATAATTGAATATTTCCTGGGTACAGCATTGATGAACTCTTGAATTAGCCATCTTTCCAGTATTGGTGTGTATAGCCTATTATACAGGGAAAGAGAGGGGAAGAGAATGGCCAGAAATAAGGACAGACAAGAACAGAAAGGGGGATTAATAATAAAAATGGAGAAAAGTACACATTTTCTGCAGAAGAGCTGGCATTGCCAATAAATAGACTTGGATTAAAGAGCAGTATGAATTTATTAACAAAGTCATGATGATACTGTTAGATTTAATCCAGTTTGAATCGATGGGGTAGTAGTGACTCATTGACTACCAGCTCATTTTCATGCTTGCTTCTATTATATTTTTTTAAAAACAACCACTCTTATTTGGTTTTTAATTGCTAGTTATAAATTTGTACATTAACCTGGACTGGAGGGGGTGCATTCTATTTAATAGTAAAGGTTTGCATATCATCCTGTGTTGAACATCTATATTTTCTGACTGTAAATGTTTTGAGAGGAGGTGTTGAAAGGGAAATGGAGAAAGCTTCTTAATATAGGTAATCAAACTTTCATGAGTACCTATTGAGTAATTTATGCTAAACTCATGTTTTTGCCAGTCAGCAAATCATATGAACAGCTCCCTGCTCTCCTTATATCGTAAAGGAAATCCTGATTCTGTTTCAAGTACTCCTGAGATGGAGCAAAGAGAAACCGCCGTTTCAACAGAACGGATAACTTCCAAAACAGGCTCCATTCCTTTGAAGACCTCTGCCAGAAGTTCTGAAGGAGGATGGTTTATTGACAAAACCCCAGGTGGAAAGAAAGACAGTTTTTTCTCGGACCTATCAGATGAGAAAAGTAATCATAAGAAGCCAATATCTGAAATAGAGGTATTTTTATAATGAAGTTTTAGCCCCACGTGGTCAGAGCACATTACAACCTTTCCGCTGAATCGTTGAATTCAACAAGCACATTCCTGTGTTTTGTAAAAGACACAGGAACTTGGAAATACGTATAGAATTTGATCACCTCCCACTACCACCATGATTTTCATCCTAGTCCAAGCTTCTGTTCTTTCTGGCCTTAACTACTGAAATAACCTTCCAGCTGGAGTCTGCTTCCATTCTTTTCCCCCTAGTTTATTCTTCACTCAGATACCTTTTTTTACAAGCTAAGTCAAATCATTGTCATTCTTTTATTAACCCCCCCCCCCCGCAATGACTTCATTCAGTCTAAAATCAGAGATCTTGCAGTTGCCAGTAAAGCCCCATATGATTTGGCATCTTCTTTAGTCTTGTCTCCTGCTCCCCTCCTCCCTAACTTCCTAGATTGCTTCAGCCACAGCTGGGCTGCTTCCTGTTTCTAAAACATACCAAGCACCCTCTCACTTGGGACATGTACCCTTGTACTTTCTGTTTGGGACACCTTTCCCCAGATTCCTGTGGCTCACTCCATCAGCTCTTCACACCTCTCTTCCCATGTAATCTTCTCAGAGAGGCTTTCCCTGACATGTAAGCTAACACATTGGATACTATTTCCTAACCCTTCTTGCTTTTTTTTTTTTAAAGTACTTAATAATCACTTTTTTTTTAGTACTTAAAATGACCCTGTATAATTGTTTAGTTGGTTTGTTTTCATTAGAATGGCATCTCCAGGGGAGGAGGGACTTTGTTTCATAATGTGTTCCTGGCTAAAATAATGTCTAACATATAGTAGTCATTTTGTTGAAATAGTGCCTGATAAACTTCCTGAGATGCGTTTACTAGTGAGAGTTAAAGAATAACTACTTTGGGTGTGTATTACAGAAAGTGGTGGACATAGGAAGAAGGGAGGACAGCTGCTGAAACAGCAGTGTGCTTTATTTTCAGTTTAAGATGATGCCTTGAGGGGTCCAATCCAACATAAATGGGTACACTATGAAAATGTATAGAATAAGTAGACAACTTTTTTTAAACCTTTTTAGATTGAAATATATCATACATAAAGTAAACCTTGAATTATCACAAACTAAACACAGCAGACATCATTCTTACCTAATTCTTTTAGCACCTGACAGAGAAGGAGTTTAAGGTAATCTGTCTCCCAATAGAGTGAATGTGTCCCAGGGCTCACTGTCCAGTGTGGGAAGTGTTAGCTACATGTGGCTGTTGAGCACTTGAGATAAGGCTAATGCAAATGAGGAGTTGAACACAGTTAAGTTATTAGAAAACTTCTAAGTATGTTTGAAACAAATTGGGTATGAGAATCTGCTTTTTCAGCTGTTAATTTTAGGAAATCTAAATACGACTCAAGTTTTGAAACTTTATCGTCTGAATTGAGATGTACTATAAGCATCAACTACACATTGGACTTTGATGACTTACTACAAAACCAATACAAAACATCTCATTAGTAATTTTTTATACTGACTTTGTTGGAATGGTAATGTTTTAAGTATATTTGGTTAAATAAAATAGACTTTTAAATTTTTTCACCTTGTTTCTTTTTTCCTTTTTTGAATGTGGCTACTAGAATATTTAAAATTACATATGTGGATGGTATTTTTCTTTTGGACAGCAGTGCTCTAAGTGTTTTTCAGGCATCAAGCTCTTTGATTTGGCAAAATCCCTTTCCTCCCCTTTTGAATTATTAATGGACCTTTTCCAAGTCTATTTAATTATTTTGTCTTTAAAGAACATTATTGTGGTTGGCAAGGTCAGGGAAAGAGCTTGACTCTTACGTTGGCTTAATACTTTTTTATGGCAGTCAGAGCAACTCTGTCATATTTAATTTAGTGATTGGTCAGACAGCAGATAAACACCAACTATGTAAAAGAGTCAGTGAGAAATAAAAGATGAACTTTAGTGTCTTAACTCCAAAAGCCCACAATTCAATGAGAGAGACACAGGCATGTGAATACAAGGCAGGTTATGATATGCTGTAATAAAGTTGCAAGTTCTTTGTTCTGGGAGTGTGAAGAAGTGATTAGTTATAACTAGAAGATGGGAGGAGGTTTTCAAATGTTAGGGTATCAGCTGTGCATGACATCCCCAAGCAGAGAACATTCTTAAGCAAAGAGGTTGGGAATAGCTAACAGGGGTGAAAATGCTAGGGCAGGAATGGATTTTTTTAAAACAATGCCCATCTTTTTAAAAAATTATTGGCATTATAATTTCAAGCATGGCATATTTAAATTTCTTTCCAGGACTCAAAAGATTCTCTTCTGGAGAGTAATAAAAAAAGAAAAGGCAGGCGAAATAGCAAAGGAAGCAAAAGGAAGAAAGAAGATCTTCAGGAGGTAGATGGAGAAATAGAAGCTATCCTGGAAAAAAAAGGTGAGATGTGAGTCTCGTGGGTGGCGACTGTGTTTGCTCTGAATACAAACTGTTTCAGTTAGGGGACCTTCTATGTGCAGTGACATACACGAGAAAATGTTTTAGTATCTAATGGAGCTTTGTTTACTTAAAGATTATTCGGTATAGTTCTGGGTTACTACTGAATCACTAATCTTATCACCTCCTCCTTTTTTGTTTACCAGCCAAAGCCAGGGGCCTAGACCTGCAAATCTCCAACGTGAAGTTTGAAGATGTCGGAGGCAATGATGCAACATTAAAAGTTAGTTCAAATTCAGAATTTCTCACTCAGAGGGAGGGGTATATTGCCAATCAGATAGGCAAGCAAAGCCTTCCGCTTTGTGTCTGTTAGGAACTGAGTGTAGAAAAGGAGGCCCAGAAGGTGAGAAGGGCAAGCCTGACTGTTCCCTTTCAGAGTGTTGAGGAATAAAAGAACCATAATACTTTCATCTTTTTCACCTTTTAAATTATAATGTGCATAAGATAGATGCTTTATAAGGAATATTACTTTCACAGTTATAATAATAACAGTTACCATTTGTTCTTTTGTGTGTTTACTCTGTTCCAGTTACCATGCTAGTTACTTCTCATTATATCTGCAAGGTTGCTATTATCACAGCTTAGGAAATGGAAGCTCAGAGAGGTTCAGATATCAGAGCTGGGTCGGGTGGAAGTGTAAAAGCCAATACTCTATTATATTTTGCTGCTCCAAAGAATAGGACATTTCATTCCACATTAATTCTCTTTGAGACTGTGTAGGACATCTTTCCTATTTATTCCCTGCCAGGAGGTCTGCAAGATGCTCATACACATGCGTCACCCAGAGGTGTACCACCACCTGGGCGTCATACCCCCTCGCGGAGTTCTCCTTCATGGACCACCAGGCTGTGGGAAGACATTACTTGCACATGCGATTGCTGGGGTGAGACTTGCTGACACTTGTTTCTTTTGTTATTTTTGTTTTTTCTCTCTGGTCAGCTTGAACCAGACTTGGCATATTCTCAGGAGGATTGATCCCTTCTTCATTTTTTTTTTAACCTCTTTTCATGCTCGTATTTGTGAGACACTTTTTTTTTTTAATGCATCCGGTTATTTATGTGGCAAGGATTGGGTGGGAAGCAAAATGCTATAGCTGTAAACAACCCTTTTTTTACATTATTTTACATTTCAGTTATTTCTTACTCTCTTTAAGCCAGTGTTTTTCAAGAGCAGTAAAATAAGGAAACAAAATTGTACTGTTTTTTATAGAGCTAACTTTACTCAGAATTTTCATTTTCAGAGTCATGGTTTTTACTTTTTAGTGTTAAAATATCCTTTCTAAAATGGCGGTAATAGATACTTACTTAACAAAGTAAAAAGTTAGCAATCTTAATTGTAGTTCCATCAGATTTCTCAGAAACTGTATTGAGTGGTAAAATGCAAAATGTCCAAGGAACTTCAATTTGAAAAATAGCATACTACACTAATCAGTAATAAATAGTGCTTTATGAAAGAAAATTGTTTTTAGAGGATAACTTGAGTCATTTGTCTCATGTATTCATTTGTTGAATGAATCTTTTGTGTAACTGCTGCATGCCAGATGTTGAAATACAGTGATAAGTACAACAAACTCACTTGTTATCTTTAAGAAGTTTTCCAATCAAATATGAGAGACAGACATTAAACAGTCTTTCATACAAATAAATGTTGTTCATAGTTACAATTATAGTGGGTGGGAGACAGAAGAAGTGCAGAATGCTGTGTGGTATGTCATTGGTATGTTGTCTTAACCCAAGTTAAGAGTTAGGGTCAAAGAGAGTATCATTGAGGAAGTGAAATTTCAAGATAGCCAAAGAATAGCAGGGCTCAGGCAGGGTTGTCACCGTTTGTATTGGTGGGACAGCAGTAGTTTCTGTTCCTTTACTTAAAGCACCTGTCTCCTCTGACCAGTAACTGCCTGCTGCTCTGGGTTCAGGGCAGGAGAAATGCCAGTGAGCTGTGTGGGAGACACATGTGTCACAACCCCTGCTGTGTCCTTTCCAGCTGTTTATCTGTTATTTATCTAAATAACAGATAAAATTGCTTTGGCTCAGCTCTAAGTGGGAGGAAACATGTTTCTTAATATTCAGACCCTTTACTCAGAAGAGATAACAACAGTGTTTTATAGTGACATCTATAAAGTAAAAACAAGTAGGCACGGTATCCAGTCAATGTGTTTGGATAAAACTGTAGATTTTTAAGTAATACTTTTCATTGGACCAACACAGAAAGATGAAGATCCTCAGAAAATTAGTCATTTAAAAATGTAATTTTGTGAGAAGGTCTGAATAAGGAAAAAAGTAGGAAAGTGAAAATTTGGTCATTCTTTTATGTATTTGTGCCCTAGGAGCTTGACCTTCCAATTCTGAAAGTAGCTGCTACAGAGATTGTATCTGGGGTGTCTGGAGAATCTGAACAGAAGCTGAGAGAACTATTTGAACAGGCTGTGGTGAGTTAGCTGATGACTGCCAGGTTATTTGGTGAATGATCCTTGAACGTTAAGTTTTTTATTTTTAAGATTTTTAAAAATGTATGTACATCGCCATGCTGCAGTATGGAATACATTTATGATTGCCTTTCTTTGATATTCTTATTTCTAGTCAAATGCACCCTGTATCCTTTTTATTGATGAAATTGATGCTATTACCCCCAAAAGAGAAGTTGCTTCAAAAGATATGGAACGAAGAATTGTGGCCCAGCTCCTTACCTGCATGGATGGTCAGTTTAAAATGATGAATTCACTTTAAGATAATAATTTTTTTTGATAGTGTAAGGTGTGAAGATATGAAACATTCAAATAGCATAAAACTCAGAATAAAAGACAGGAAGTTTTCCTTTTCATAAAAGATTGCATCATTAATTTAATTTTTTGGAGTATATGTTACAGATTTCTTTATATATATATTTTTCAGATTATTTGTCATTACAGATTAAAACAAGAAATTCTTATTGTTTATCTATTTTGTGTATGGTAGTTTGTTAATCCTATACTCCTAATTTATCCCTCCACTTCCCTTCCTTTCCCCTTTGGTAACCATAAGTTTGTGTTTCTGTGTCTGTGAGTCTGTTTCTGTTTTGTATATAGATTTATTTGTATTATTTTTTAGATTTCACATATAAATGATAATCATGTAATATTTGTCTTTCTCTGACTTACTTAGTATGATATTCTCTGGGTCCATCCATGTTGCTGCAAATGGCAATATTTCATTCTTTTTTATGGTTGAGTAATAGCTTAATGCATTTACACACATATGTAAATATACTAGCCATATTGTTTTGCTTTTTACAGCACTGGATTGCACCATCCACATTATTCTATAACTTGTGTTTGTATCTTAACAATATGTCTTGGAAATGTTGCCATTTTAATGTATTTATATCTACCTCTTTTTAGTTGCTGCTTGGTATTCTTTAGGATAAATTTATCATATTGTACTTAAATGTTTCCATTTCCATGGATATTTAAGTTTTGGTTTTTGTTTTTCAACAAGCTGTCGGCAGTATCTTTAAATGGGCCTTTTTGCTACACGTGTATTTTTCTAGAATGAAGTGATAGTTAAATATTTTGCATTTAAAATTTTTATAGGAAGTAGCAAATTGCCTTCTAAAAAGACTTTGCCATTTACATCTTTACCGATACTATACAAGAGTGACCCTTTCTCCAGATCCTTCACAACATTGAATGTTATCAATTGTTTTAATTTTTGCCAATCTAAGGGATGAAAGTTGATATCTGTTTGTTGTAATTTGCACTTCCCTGATTACCACAGAGGCTGATCATCTTTCCATATTTTCTTGGCTTTTCATATGATTTCCAGAATCCCTTTCCTCATCCTTTTCCCAATGTTTATTGGATTTTTAAAAATTCTTTTAAATGAGTATTATATTTTAATATATTATGGAAATAAATCCTTTGTTAAATATACTGCAGTTCCTTCCTATCTGTTTTGTTTAATGGCATTTGGATACAAATTTGGAGGAAGGGAATCAGCATGAGTAGAATTTTTGGAACTAGATCTTACCTACTATGAAATAGCCTGTTTTGTGTACACAAGAAAATTTGAAGTAGTATGTATTTTACATTCCTTGTGATGCTAGGTTGTAGGTTGCTTATTCTGCTATATTTTTATATAAAATTTCCTTGCCATGTTTTAAGACCTATGCTCTGAATTACCACTTTATTGAAGCTAATTTATCATCAATTATAACATACACCATTACTTTATGTACCTTCAAAAAGGAAAAAGACAAGACACCAAAGTATGACATAATGCTTACTACATTGATAGTAGAAACATTCCGATTTTAGAGATACTAAAATGTGGAAAAAATGAACAAGTACAGGTTAAAAGCAGATAACTTATTTCATGAAAATCTTGGAAGCCTGTTAGTTGAGGGTTTTGGTGTATTTCTGTCTGGGTGTTTTGAGGTTCCCCTTTATAAGCCAGAATAGAGAAAACGGTAAACAGTTCAACTTATACAGTTATCCTCTTACTGAACTGAACTTGGGTCTTTTTGGCTGATGCCCAGCACAGCCAATCTACTGACTCTGGGTCATGGTGAAGGAAAGTACAGTGCCTTGCAGAGCACGAAGCAAGGAGAATGCACAGCTAATGCTCCAAAGACTCAAGCTCCCTGATGGCTTTCAGGCAAGAATTCTTAAAGGCAACCTTAGGGGTGAGGATGGCAGAGTACATGATCAGGTCCTCGGCGTTTTGTAAAACTTTACTAATTCAGAGTCTACCAATATGAAATTTTAGTAATTTAAAACTTTTAAGTAAATTAATATGAACAAGATAATTAAAGAGACTACTTAAAAAACTAGTTTTACCTAATTTTAAAAACTTAAACTCAGACATAATTCTGATTATTAAGAGCTGGGAAGGATCTTAAAATATCGTCATCTTGTGTCTGAGGAAACATGAACAGAGAGCTAAGGGCCAGGTGCTTACAGTGAGCCATTGGCAAAGCATAGGCCAGAATCCAGATGTTTAATTACACGGGTGCAAGTAGTGAGCTGTCCACAAATGCTTTCTTAATTTATGAGAGCTATTATCCCAGAAACGTGTTAACTAGTTTTTTTTTTTTCACTCTGTGTGAAAAAAAGTAAAACTTAATTTCTTTTGTAGTATTCTGAAAGTCATACTTTTGGCTAACGTAACTTCAATTTAAAATGATCAAATCCTCTAGAAGAGGCAGAAAGAGAATGGAATTTATCTTGTAGTGGTTAACCAATCCTAGCTGAGCTGAAGGAAAAAAAGGTGGCATTTGAAATGGCACTTAACGTTGCTAAGTATTGATTTCCTGTGGAAGGGTTTTTTCATTATGGAGGATTTAACAGATTTTCATAATTGCTCTTGTTGAATTCTGTTATTAACCCTTGATATGTTCAGAGCCTGTCACCAGGACTGTAGTGTTTGAGCAACATGAACTGGAAAAAGGAAGCAAACTCCTACCCTTGGTCACTCGCAGTGTGGGGATGAGAGCATCCGTGAGTCCTCAGTGGGGCAGCTTTGGCTGTATACAGCATTAGCACAGGGAGGGTTCAGTGTAAGAACATCTTCCTGTGAATGTAGGTTTGTAGCTCATGGTGCTCCCTTAATTATGAGGTATCACCTCGTTTCCTGTAAAGTTCTTTTGCTTGTTCAAGGATCTTCTCTCATAGCATGAATCTCTTCCTTTAGCTGATTCCTTTTATTCAGTTTTCAAAAAGTATTAAAGAGCTTTCCGGTCTCAAACATAGACCTTATGCCTGTCTTCGTTTTAATCCAAAATTTATTGGAAGAGTATCATGCCAACTAAATATATGTTTCTATTTCCATTCTATTCTGTAACCCCAGTCCCATAATTGTCTGTCTGCCTTAACCATTCCACTGAAGCTAATCATAGAAAAGTCATTAAGAGTCACTATTAGCCACATCTTTTGGCTTACTCTTAGCCCTCACCCTTTGAACCTGCCTCTTACAGTTGTTGTGAGGGTTAACTAGGGGTGTGGACTGTGCCTGGAGTAGTGCCTGGCACATGGCGAGCACCCAGTGAGTGTTAGCGGTGGTGGTTGTTGAGAGCATCTGATACTGTGATCATCTGGTCCTTGTCATTGTTGGCTTAACACTCTGTGTCCTGCTTTCCTTGCCTCCTTTTTCCCATCCCTTAAAGGTATCTTGTAAGGTTTACACTTGATCTGCTTTTCTTCTTGCCCTCTACCTATTTCCCAACTACCTCCTGTTTAGCCCTTCATTGGAAAGCTCTTGAATTGCATCCCTAATGATTTCTGGTAAGCTTCAAATCCACGTACCCACCTGCCTGTCTGGGTACTTGGATGTGACTACCCCAAATCCCCTCACACTCAGCATGTCTGGAGCCCCTCTTGCTACCCCTGTGGCCCTTTCTGCCCATCTGACCTCCCTCCTGTATTCCCTAGTTTAGTTAACAGCATCCAAACTGAGTGGTCTTTGTCTCTTCTTCTCCCCCCACCCTTCACATTGAATCATTTGCTTTTGAGTCCATCTATAACGTGGTACTTAAATTGGGTTTTTCCTTTTTATTTATTGTGTTCCTGCCTTACTTCACTCATTTCTCACCTGATTATTATAATTAGATCACAACAAATTCTTTTTGCTTTTATTCCTCTATACTCTGTTCAGAATTATTACTAGAATTATTTTTCTAAAACAAATCTTATCAGAAAAGCCTTTCATGGCTTTCTGTTGGCTAAAGAATATACTTTAATTGCCTCATAACTTGGCTGTTAGAGGACTTGATTAACATCTTACTACCTTTTTATTGCCTGTGAAGGGGTGTAATTCAGGCTCTCTGCTAGTCAACCCTGGTTCAGTTGAGACAAATAATGCTTGTGAAAGATACATTTTAGTCCCTGCATCCTGTTCATTAATAAAAATCTATATTTAGAGTAAGCCGTGTAAGTGTGTTATATGCCCTATTTCAAATTAATTCTGTGAGTCTGAGACACATTATTAATCTATCCTGCCCAGATGCCCTGTTGTTGGACCACTTACCTTGTCTAAACATGTCACACCTCTTTGTACCTCTGTCCTTTTACTATTCCATTTCTTCCATGTAGAGTTTCATTAACCTGCCTCTCTGCTTATTAATATCCTATTCACCCTTCAAGCCTTTTCTTGAAAGTTGTCTCCTCCCTAAACTCCCCCCGATTCCTCAGTCTGATTTCACAATTCCTTCCATTGTATTACTGAGGTGCTTTGTTTATACTTCCTACACTTCACAAGATTGGTCTTACATGTTTCTCAGTAGATTGTGAACTGCTTGAGGACAAAGTTTGTGTTTATTTTCCTCCATCTTTCACATATTAGAAATACTTGTGTAAGCATTATTGTCCTTAATGTCATATAAGTACCGCGCGCTAACCGATTGCGCCACTGGAGCTCTTATTGTCCTTAATGTCAAGTGTCTTGTTTACCACTTATTCTTGTGTCTGCTTCTTACTAGATCTGAATAACGTGGCTGCTACAGCTCGGGTCCTAGTCATTGGAGCTACTAACCGACCAGACTCACTTGACCCTGCTTTGAGACGTGCAGGAAGGTTCGACCGAGAAATATGCCTAGGTATCCCAGATGAAGCATCCAGGGAAAGGTACACTCTTATAGAATGAAGTTTGTATGCCACTACGTCATCTGAACTGAATGCTTTGAAAATGAGGGGTGAGAAATACCATGTAACCTTTTTTTCTCTCTCTCTTTTTGTACCAGTGAAATGGATTTGGAAAGGAAAAGCCCACATTAAATGCTTAAGAAAACAATTTACTCAATACGGCAGTTGTTTCAGGCTGCTTTTTCAGTAGTGATGATGGGCTTATGTATCCATACTCATTTGTCTGGTCTTACTAACAGTGTCTTTTGGTTTTTACTTGGCTAATCAGCCTAGGACAGTGTCTAGAGCTATGGAATAGAGCAGTGCTCACTGGTCTACACGTAGGTTAAATCTCAGTACTGTACTTTAACCTGTTGCACTGACCCGCCTCAGATCATAGGTTCTGTGACAAATAAATAAATGGAGCCAGAGAGTTGAAAGCTGCAGGACCACCCTTTCCTAGGAATTGGGGTTGAATGTCCATAGAACAAAGAAACGTCCACCATCATCTCAGTAACCAGAAGTATCTCAGGAGGCACTGTTCAGGGGGTGGAGTAAAGAAAATCTAGTAAAGAAATATTCTAAAATACCGTATTTATGATGACTCGACTTAAGTTAGACACAAAATTGCTGTACACGATTGCCAGTGGCTCTTAAGGAAAGTGATGTGCAGTGAAAGTATAGTCGTGGGACCGGGGAAGAAAGGAAGAGATGCAGAACTCGAGACTTCATGAATGCAGGATGTAAAGTGATCAGGAGGCACTGTGGGTGGGAGAAAGCGTTAGGAAGGAACATGTCATCCTCCCTTCTTCCCGGCGCTTAATGTGGCTTCAACTCTTAACTGTTTGGCAGTTTCTTCTTTAACTGTTGTATTCAGTGTCACCTCTAGGTATGCTAATTGCATTCGCACATATATAATCTTTACATAGTTAATCAGTCATTCAGGCTTGTTTACTAATGTGTTTATATCTGCAGCAAAATATTATTTAATACTTAAGTTGTTTGTATTTGTTCAGCAAACATGTACTGAGTGTATAACGTGTGCATACAGCACTGTGACAGGTAATATGAGGAATATAAAGAATTAGAAGTCCTTGCTTTTAGGTTGCTTATAATAACAGTAGGAAAGAAATAAGGCCTGTATCCTTTATCAAGCCTTTTTTTGATTAAGTGCCGAACTTAATGGTAGAGAGAGACAACACAGTGGAGCTCATCATCCTCACTAGGTAAAATTCTTTGTTTATCAATCCACGATTTCATCATCAACAGATGGCCATATTTTGAAAAATTTCAAATCTACAAAAAGTTGAAAGAATAGTACGTAAAATATCTGTATGCCCTTTAGCTGAATTTACCATTTGTTAACATTTTGCTGTGTTTACTTTCTATATTTGTATGTATATGTATATGCATTTTGTGTATATCTGTTTCTTTTCTGCCAACCCATTTGAAGGACAGTTGAAGACATCATGACACTTCAGTCCTAAATTCTCCTCCTTCGTAATTATTGTACCATTTTCCACACTTAAGAAATTTAACACTGACAATAATATTATTTTAATATATAGTCTATTCTAATTTTCCCCATTGCCCCAAAAGTGTCCATTGTAGTTATTTTAACTGTTCATTTTGTTTAGCTTTTTTGTTTTACCTAGACTCCAGTTACCTGCTGTTTAGTCTACCTGTCCCTTTAATCTCCTTTAATCTGCCTTTTGTGGGGAGGGAGTACTTTTATGACATTGACTTTTTTGAAGTGTCCAGATAAATCTTTTGTAGACTACCCCACAATTTAAATTCATCTGGTTGTTTCCTCATGATTAGATTCAGGTTAAACATTTTGGGCAAGAGAACTACATAGGTGGTGAGGTGTCCTTCTAGAACATCATTTCAAGAGGTTTGTAATGCCAGTTTGTATTACTGATAAGTTTGATCACTTGAAAAATTTGTCAGACTTCTCTCTTCTGAAGCTTTTTTTTTCTTTTGTACTTAATAAATAAAATCCAGATATTTTGGGCACCTACAGTTACTTACGACTGCCTTTCATCAGTTTGTTCTTCATGTTAGATTCAGAAAGTAAGTTCTTTAGGCATATTTTGGTGTTTTACATAGGCTGTAATGGTCTGGCTAAGTCTTAGACGGCTTGGGCAAAAATTCTGTCTGAAACTAAAGAGGGGTATTAAATGTTTACGGTGTTTAAGGTTAGTTGGGAAGAACAAGGTCAAAGCCTGAAAGAACATACTCTTGAATGTAATTATGCGTGAGAATTTTTTAAGGAAGAGATGGGTTTTTAAAAAAATTTTTTTGTTATAAAAAATACTTACAAAACTTGCCATCTTAACCATTTTTAAGAGTACAGTTCAGTAGTGTTCTCATCGTACAAAACTTAAACTATACTCATTAAACACTAATTCCCCCTCTACCAAGAGTATTTCTGATTGAGTCTTTGACAAAGGCAGAATGTTGTTTTCTTACTTTTATACTTTGGTTTAGCTCTGAATGCAGAAGCAAAATAATTATGTTATCATATGCCGATGTCAATGAGTTAAATTCTAAGAGGGGGAAATTATATAACTAGAATTAAGGTACATTGATGTTTGTTTTTTATTTGTAATTCTTAAAAAGTCATTAATTGTGGAAACACTTATTTAAGCACCTGTTGTATACCAGGGAGACGTAGTAGTTGTCTCCTGTCACTACTTTGAATAACCAGAAGTGCGGTAAGTCCAAAAAGACAACGACAGAGAGGATATATCAGCAAAGCTAACATGGTCTGGAGTTTGTTTTTTTTTCCCATTGCAAAAAGCTTTATTGTTTCCATTTGGTCCAAGGCTTGGGAGAGGGCTCAAGGATGGTTAAAAAGCTGCCTGGTGAGTGCAGAGAGGCTTCAGGCAGAAGCCCTGACACCTGAGGTGCTCTGTAAAGGCTGCTGGGTTGCAGAGGCTCCTAGTCGTGCTTGAGGGTGAGCCTTTTGGAGAGATCCTCGCCCAGCCCAGCCTGGGGACCAGAGAGCCTGCGGAGGTTAGTCAGGTGGCTGCCCATCTTGATGAGTTTCGCCTCCTCATCCAGGAAGTGGTTCTCCAGGAAGTCACAGAGATGTGATCTGCGCGGGCAGAACCCAGGGCATGCAGATCCAAAAGGGCCTGGTTCAGGTTCTTCACCAGGACAATAGCAGCTTCCATAGTATCCCGCGGGTTTTACCCCACTCATCTTGAGATGGCTTCTGCAAGTCCTGGAAGAGGGCGTGGCCGCCGCGCTGGTTTTGCATTTTCAAGAAACGCTCCACACCCTCGCGCTTCTCCTCAGCCAATTCACAGAAAAAGTGGCCAACGCCCTCCAGAGCCACATCGTCGCGGTTGAAATGGAAGCCCAGAGAGAGGTAGGTGTAGGAGGCCCGCAGATGCATGTTGACCAGGTGGCTGACAGAGGCCTCAACCTTGCTGGAATAATTCTGACAAATCTGGGAGCTCATGGTTGATCAGTAATAAGGAGTTAAGCTCACAAAACGGTGTTGGCTGGTCCCAGAGGCTGAAGATAGCACAGTGGCTGGCCTGGGGGTTCTTAAAGGCTTCTCTGAGGAAGCTGAGACTTGAAGAATAAATAGTGGTTAACTGATCAAATGATGATGAGAGTGCTAGTAGGAATAGCACATGTAAAGCCCTGAGGTGACTGAGAGCTCAGTGTGTCCAGGGATCTGGAAGAATATGGCTGTAGAAGAAGATGTAGGATGTGAAAAGGCTGCAGAGGTGTACAGGAGCTGGCTCACATATACCTTGATAAGGATTTTGGTGGGAAGGAAGTAAAGCAACTAAATAAAGCAGAACAGATTTTTGTTTTGAAAGATTACTGTAGCTGCAGTGTGAAGAATGGTGACAGGAGAGCAGGAATGGGTTCTGGTAGCCCAGTGAGAAGGCTCTTGTGAGATCCAGAGGTGATGGGGAATGGCCTTAAGGAGGTGGGAGCATAAATAGAGATCACTGGAATAGCTGGAGATGTTTACGAAGTAGAATCAGTAAGTTCATCAACAGAATATGTGTGTGGAGAGGTGGCAGCTAAGAGCAAGAGGGAAATATTCCCAACTTTCTTAAATACCTGATGGTTTTCTATTTATTTATTATTTTTATATTTTTGGCGGGGGAGGCAATTAGGTTTGGTTTGTTTGTTTGTTTAATGGTACTGGGGAATCAAACCCAGGAACTTGTGCATGCTAAGCATGCACTCTGCCACTGACCTATACTCCCTACCTCCAATACCTGATGGTTTTCTATTGAAGGAATGAGAAATACTAGAGGATAAGCAGATTTCAGGAGCGGATTTGGGGATAGATGGAATTTAAAGGGACTTGCAGGATGTCCAAGTAGGATGTCAACTTGGCAATTGGACAAATTAGTCTGGAGCTCTGAGGAAGTAAAAATTTGGGAATCATCTGTATATTGATGGCAGTTAAAGTTATGAAAGTAGATAAGATTTCCAGAGAGAGTGTGAAGAGCAAACGTCAGAGGTTCTGGGACAGGCCTGCAGGGGCTGACATCTACTAAGGATGTAGAAGGAGCAGCCGAAAGTATTGGGGAAATGAAGAGAATGTGTGTAATGGAAGCCAAGCAAAGTGAACATTTCCAGAAAGAGGAATGAGAGATCAAGCAAGGGAGGTCTGAAAAATTGTCTCTGAATTTAACTACCTAGAGGCCACCAGTGACCTTAACAAAAAGCTGTTTGCGTAGAACAGTAAGGGTAAACTCCAGGTTGGAATGGTTGAGGAGTACATGGAAAGTGAAGAAATGAGGGTAGCAAACTTCTGGTTCATTTTAGGGAAGTTTGCTGTGAAGAAGAGAGAAAGTGGTAGAGAGTGATAGCTACGGGAGGTGGATAATGGGGTGTTGAAAGAGGATTTTTTTAAGATAGGAGAAGCAGGTAGTATCTTTAAATGTTGATAGGAAAGAGAAATGGGAGGAATGGGAAATCAGAGCTTATATATCGGTGCTGGCCTTAGAATGAGGGGTACTTTGTTGAAATGTTAGTAAAAAAAGACAGGATACATACAGGCAAGGAGGTTTATCAGCTTGTTACTGGAAAATTGAGGACGTTTTCTCTGAATTCAAAAGTGAGATCAAACAAGATTACACTGTATAGCACAGGGAAATATACACAAAATGTTATGATAAATCACAGAGAAAAAAATGTGACAATGAGTATGTATATGTCCATGAATGACTGAAAAATTGTGCTGAACACTGGAATTTGACACAACACTGTAAAATGATTATGAATCAATAAAAAATGTAAAAAAAAAAGTGAGATCATCTGATGAAAATGAAGCACATGATGGATAGCTTAGAGGTTTGAGGGTGATGAAGGTGTAAAATTATTTTCTTGGATACTTTGAGATGAGCTGGCTAGAATAATAGGATTTTCAGCAGTGTTTAGGAAGGGGGTATGAAATGGTGCCACTAGGCCTGGTTTTATGTTTTTCCCATAGCAATGCTCAACAGTGTAGATCCGGGTAAGGAGAGAGCAGAGATTTAGAATTTCGATGAAGAAAGAAAAAAGTAGACCGTGGACTCTTAAATTGTTAAAATAAGAGTATTTGATGAGGAGGTGGTGACTCCAGGAACCTATAAGGTTCAAGAACAGGTGTGTGGGAGACTGTGAGCAGAGAGGGAAATGCTTGAGCTAGTGATTTCAGAGGCAGAACAGATCCACGTACTGATAAGGTCCAGGGTGTGACGGTAAGTGAAGAGGAGAAGAGGACAGAGATGGGCAAAGCTGGGGTGGAGATGCTGCCAGTAGGTGCCAGAACTTTGAGTCATTGAAGGAAGGTATCCAGGAATTTCAGCTCTGCCATATGTCCTTGTGCCTTTTTCTAGATATTTAACATTTTCCAGTTTTAGTTTATTTAAGTGGAGTACAGTAATAGTAACAATAATAGTCCTTAACTGTAAAAAGATAATATCTTCACTTAAAGGCTTCTTGTAAGGATTGAATCAGGGCACCTAGCGTAACATCGACCCATAGAAAGAAAAAAAAAATTTTTAAGGTAGCTATTGATATTTTCCTGAACTTTAAAAGCATTTTATTATGGCAAATGTGTACACAAAAGGCATCTAATATAATTGTTCAAGTTTCTATTGCTGCAAAACAAACCACTGCAGAAGTTATTGGCTTACAACAACAGTCATTTTATTGTCTCTCACCATTTCTGTGGGTAAAGATTTCAGAAAGGCCTCAGCTAGCTGGTTCTGTCTCGGGGTTTCCTGTGGCTACAGAGACTGTGGCTGGAGCTTGAATATTGTGGGGAATTTGAGCAGCAGGGCTGAGCTTATCTTTCTGCCTACCTAGCTGTCTGTACATCTTGTCATCTCATCTAGTCTGTTCCTTACCCTCCCCCAACCCCTTTCTCTTCTTGTCCGCTAAAGGCCTTTCCATGTCGCACCCTTTACAGGATAATGTGGGCTTCCTCAGAGCTGGGCAGCCTCAGGGTGGAAGGATTCTAACATGGCTACAGCATGAGGATTGCAGGAAACAGGCTGAAGTAGCATTGCTGTTCTTGATCTAGCCTTGGAAGTGACATCACATAGTGTCCATTCTACTGTAACTCTGTTGGTTGATTGGTCACTTAGATCAGCCCAGATCCAAGGAGAGGAGTCAGACCCATCTTGCGGTGAGAAGAGGGTTAAGAATTTACAAACATACGCTTTACAACTGTCACAATAATGAACCTCCGTGTCTTAATAATTATCGACATTGTCACAGTGTTATTTTCTCCCACTTTTTCCCCCTGAATTAAAACAATGCAAATCCCAGGCATTGTATCATTTCAACCTATAAATACTTCCATGTCTAATGAATAAAGACTTTTTATTTAACATACACACAGTGTCATTATATACCTGACAAATAATAATTTAATATATCTAATACTAAAATCATGTTCATATATTTGTAGTATATAGTTGTATTATGAATTTTGACTATATCCATATTTAGCATTTTCATTTCTCAGCTACATAAATATTGTTCACTGCTGACCCAAGTCATATATTATGATCACATTTCTTTTATTTACCTTTTTAACTTTTCTGAAATTCATAATTGCCAAATTTTTTCCATTTGCTAATCCTTTTACAACTTTTTCTGCATTCTCTTTCCTCCAAGTTTCTTTTCTTTGTGTATGTATATGTGTTTGTTTTGGTCTGTCTTGTACATTACGTTGCTGTGAGAGGCAGTGAGAAATGATGTTTAAAATGCTAATGTTTACAATTAGAATAACAGTACCTGGCATGTGGTAAGTCTTGATAGTTGAAAGCTATTACTGTTATTATTTCATGCTGGCAGCTTAAGAGTGAGGCTAATTAGATGTCTGCAGTACAGGCTGCTTTACTGAAGTGTGAGTGCCACTGTGAAGCAATCAGATTGGTCATCTGATTGGTCAAACTTTTTAGCTAGAAAATTCCAAATATCTATTTCTGTAGATTCTTTTGTTGAGCCAATTCAGCTTTTCAGAAAAAGATCTTCAGACAGCACCATGGGGGTCTACATCTAGCTGCTGGTCTGCTGACAAGGGCAGGGGCAGGCAGTTGAGGGACTATATACACTGTGCACAGACTTTGACCTCCTTTTCTGGTGGAGTTGGTCTTACTGTTGTCCACAAACCTGGAGCTTCCCTCTCCTGGTTACGATTCACCAGAGAGCACATTCCTCGTATCCTGCTGGTTGAGAAGGTGGAGAATATGTGGGGCCTTCATATTTCTTATGCAGATTTTCAGATAATTTGTGTGTGCTTAGCTTTCTGCTGTGGCCCTCATTTCTATAGTCTGACACTTTGATGCCTCCTGTTCTTGGTCTTTGTAGTTCCACCAGACAAATAAACTTCCTTCTCACTAACGCACTTCTCTTACAGAAGGTTAATTTTGGCTTCGTGCCCTCTGGTAGGTCATTTACCATTATCCATAAATTTCTTCATAGATTGTGGTTCAAGGTTACAGATAATCAAATATCTGTTGGTCTATACTGATATAAATAGATGATTGAATGAATAAATAAATGAGTGGGAATAGGCAAGTCTCTGGTGCAGAAGAATTCCAAATAATTTATGAAGAGTCACTGTCCTTAGGGAGATGACGTATGACTCCCTACTCCTTCAGGGTGCACCAGGCATAGTGACTTATTTGAGAGTACAATATGGAAAGGGAAGGAAGAGTCACTCGAAGTGGAAACCCTTTCAAACACTATCTCAAACGTGGAAATCAAGGTTCACACCCACAGTAAGTCGTGTTGATAGTATGTGTCCTTGATGTGATGTGATGAGAATGACACTTTACCTCTTAGGTATTCTTCCCCAAAACACATTGCCCTAGTCTAATCATGACAAAAATAACAAATTAATCCCAGTTGAAGGACATTCTACAAAATGTCCAGTCAGTAATCCTCAGACTTGTCCTTTTTTTTTTGAAGTACAGTTACAATGTGTAAGTTTCTGGTGTATAGCACAACGTCCCAGTCATACATATATTCATTGTCATATTTTTCATTAAAGCTTATTACAAGATACTGAATATAGTTCCTTGTGCTGTACAGAAGAAACTTGGTATTTTTTTTAATCTTTTTTATATATAGTGGCTAACGTTTGCAAATCTCAAACTCCCAAGTTTATCCTTCTCACTCCCTTTCCCCCAGTAACCACAAGATTGTTTAGTATGTGTTCGAGCCTCGACTTGTCCTTAATAACAGGAGAAGGGTGTGAGATCTGTAGAATCCTCTGAATTGTCTTTGCAGTAATTCTGTAAATATAGAACTTTATAAAAGGTTTATTTTTTAAAAATTAGTTATATTTATAGTCAATATGTTATTAAACCTGGATCGTTTATTAGGGATTAGGGAATCCCTAGTATTTGAATCTTTATAGGGATTTACAGTCCTTAGGGCATCAGCTAGAGCCGACACAGAGAGCCTCATGTTGGTTGGCCTTTCTCTTCTTTGGTAGTAAAATGTGCATACATCAGAACCCCCCCAAATCTGTTTCCTTCAGTAATATCTCATACCAGTGTAGATACCTTCTTTATTATAGAGCCTTACTGAATGAAGCCTATAGCCTAGACAAATGTTGATAGCTTTTTAAAGACCTCATAGAGATCAAGACTGATCCTCTTGCTGCAAATTTCTTTGCAGTCCTTCCAGAGTAGGCCGAGTGGGTAGGGGGAGAGAGAGTAGAGTACAGATAATTTCCTAGTTTCTTTGACTGTGGATTTTGTGCTCCTGTTTCTTGTTCTGGTTCTTGTTCTATTTTGTTTTGTTTTGGAGTGGGTGGAGGGAATGTTGCTGAAACACTTTCGCTCAACTGTCTTAGAACTGGAAATCTCTTAATGATTATTTTCTCCTCCTTTGAAGTTTCTATCGTATGATTACTGGAAATACCCATATTTTTTCTAAAATAGACTGTAATTGAGAAAAGAATGCTATTTATTTTATGTGAGCTATAGTTCCTAACATTCTAAATTTCTTAGTATTCTTATGCATAGCAGCAAGTCAGGTCTGTATCTTTAGGAAATAGTTGTATGATGGAACTTTTTCTTGGCTCCTGTTGTTTATGGTATCTAAGTGAATTATTTTTTATTTGTCAGTAATGTTTGTCTGCTTCTATTTAACTTACATGATCCCAAATGACATTTCTGTAACTTATTCTTTGTAGCTTGACATTTGAAAATATTAGTCTCCCCTACAAATTTGGAAATTTCAAAATATATTTCCTTATCCAAGTTAATTTATAATATTATAATCTGTAAATGATAATAATGAACTTTTATTGTGTATTTACTATGAATCAGTCACTGTTCTAAGAGCTTTGCATGTATTCATTTATAACATCTCAGTGATTAAGTGCTTCTACTGTAATATATATTTAACACATGAGAAAACTGAAGCACAGAAATGAAATAACTGGCCCAGGTTACACAGGGAGTGGCAGAGCTGGCATTCAACTCAGGTGGTCGGGCTTCAGACCTTTTGTCCTGAATACTTTTACTGCTTTTAAATTGTATTCAGTAGGTCTTACCAGAAGTTGTTTTAGGTATTCCTTTAGTAATAATAATTATCCAGGAGTCCACGTTTCATTTATGCTTATCATGTTGCCAGTTCAGTTGAGCAAAATTTTTTATACATGCTGTACAGGGGATGAACAGTAAGTAAAGGTGAAGTGGGAGAAGTAACTGTCCTCAGAAAAAACTGGATATTGGAGTGTGTATCCTCCTAACTTTTTGTGATGAATAAAATGAATGGTTTCAGTTTGGAGGCTTTTTATTTCTGGTAGATGTTCATTTAATATACTCTAAAAGTAGAACTTCTGTATCCTCATAGATTATTTATCTTACTTCTCCTGTAATATTATAAAATTCTTAAAGGCAGAATATTTTTAAGACTTATTTTTTATTCTTTTCAGAATTTAATGTAGTTCCTAACAAAACAGGTAGCTATACCTTAATCCCTAATGGAATAAGGCGGGATATGTAATAGTAATTTAACATTGGTTGAATGCGTGAACTATTTGATCTTACATTGTACCATTATAATACCATTGACAGAGAGGAAGGATTTCAGATAAATGTTTGGTGACTTGTTTTTACTAGTATATTAGGAATCTGATTTTTTCCCCCTTGTCTTTTCTACAGAATACTTCAAACTTTGTGCAGAAAACTAAGACTTCCTGAAACTTTGCATTTTCGTCAGTTAGCACACCTGACGCCGGGCTTTGTTGGCGCTGACCTGATGGCACTCTGCCGAGAGGCAGCCATGTGCGCAGTCAACAGGGTCTTAATGAAGCTGCAGGAGCAGCAGAAGACAAATCCTGAGCTTGAAGGTTTGCCATCTGAAGGAGGCCAGGAGGAAAGGATTGGAAGCGAACCCACTTCTGAAACACGGGTGCTTTCTGTACAGGTACCTTAAACTGTCTTCTCAATTTAAGTTTTTAGTTTGTGTCGTCTTACACGCAAGCAAGCATCGGTGAAGTTGAGGTTTATGGTTTTCTCTTATTGGCCTTGTATCTTTAGAATAATTATCATTTACACTCAGAATGTCTAAAATTTCAAAAGTACAAGTTGTTCTACTTTTTTTGGTTGATTCTGAATAAATTCATTTTACAATAATGACTATGAAATTCTTGAGCAGGGGTAGGCAAGTGATGGTCCTCCTGCCCACTGCCTGTTTTTGTGAACTGAGCTACGTCGGTGCACAGCCCTGCTCCTTTACTGACGTGTAGTCTTGTCTGCTCTCACACTTTGCAGCCGACTCCACACAAAGGTCCCGACACCAGGGACTGCACGGCCCTCAGAGCCAGCACTGTTCACTCTCCCGTTCTTCACAAGGAGAGTTTGCCGCCTCCTACGACAGCATTGGCATTTAGATCTACTTCCAGGTTACCTTTTGGTTATTAGACTAGGGTGGTCTGCTGATGCAGCCTTGTCCTTGTCCCTAGCTGTAAATCTGCTGGAGGACAGTGCTGGGAAGGGGAGAGGGATGTGTATCAGTCCAAGATCTGTTAAAATTTGGAGTTTTGTGAGTATTGAAAACTCAATAGAACATTTATATAGCATTTTTTAGCTTGCACAGGGGCTTTTATATATTATATAATTTAATCCATATAACTGTGCCAAGTAAATATCAGTTCTTACCCCATTTTATAGTCAAACTAAGCCTAAGAGATTGTAATTTGTCTGAGGCCGCATGGCCTCTACTTTCCAGATCAGGAACTTAGGTCCAGGTCTTTTGTTTTCAAATCATTTGTTTCTTCTTTACTCATTTGGAACCATAATTATATCTGTTAAAAATAATAATAAACTCATTCCTTTTATAATATTGCACATAAATTAGGATTTTATAAGTTGAATTACTCAGAGTTACTTTTTACACCTGTTCTTTTATATCCCTCACAAAGCGAGAAATCTGCCTTTGAAGCTCAAGATTCAGTAGTACTAGGAAAATTGCCTGCTTTCTGTTTAGTTGATAAGCCATCAAGGAACCATATTATGAAACTATACTGCCACCAGAGTAATTTTGTTTTAATTTCATCAAAATCCAGTGGTTCCTTGAATATTTATCAATGAAAAGTGGAAGTAATATGGTTGTTGAAATGAATATTTGCCAACTATTTGTGTTTGCTACGGCTGGCCCTAGTATAGTATACAAAAATCATTCTATATTTGATTTGCGTCAGTGCACCTTTTCTTGGCTGAATCAAATGATCCATTTACAATGAAATAAATGACATATGTCAAAATTATTAAAATACATAGAGGTTCACATAGCTTACAGAAGTATTGCAGTAATAATTTTAACAATTTTAAAGTACTAATAGTAAATCTTTTTCAACAAACTTTGGAGTTTTTCATTTTTTTTCCCTCAATTGCTCCCTTTAAGGATGAATTGCAAAGACTGCTGGGGTTGCTAAGGAACCAGGATCCCCTCTCAGAGGAGCAGCTGCAAGGGCTGTGCATTGAATTGAATGATTTCATTGTTGCTCTATCCTCAGTCCAACCGTCTGCTAAAAGGGAAGGCTTTGTCACTGTCCCTAATGTGACATGGGCAGATATTGGGGCCCTGGAAGATATTAGAGAGGAACTCACCATGGCAATATTGGTAGGTATATCTGCTGCTAACTGTTGTTGGCATATGTGATGGATAAACAACCAAATGTGTGCACTAGGTTGTAGGTCTAAATTGGCTTGACTGTGTGTTTTCTATTGTATGTTCAGTTATATTATTAAGCCTTTGGTGATGGTTTTTTCATTCTTCTGAGATCTGAGACTTACTGTTTTGATTGTGCTTAATCCTATGGCAGTGAGTTTTAAAAAAAAAAAGTTTAGGTTTCAACTGAGACCAAATTGTTTGAGAAATAACTTTCTGATCTCCATTACATTCATAATGGTCAAAGTAGTTTTAATGCCCATGAAACAATGGAGTAATTTTCATTTACTCTTACTTTCCTATTTTACTGATCATTTCATGGTTCATTAATGACATATGATCCATTCAGAGGTATGTAACTACTGAAAGAGAAAATAGATGTAGAATTATAGTGGAGTATCTCTTGCTTTTGACTGCATAGAGTACTGCTTCTTCTGATTTCTTTAAGAGAAACATTGCCTAAAAATTTTATAACCTAGAAATCTAGATGAGTTTTCTAAAAATTCTTGATTTTAAAATGTTGAAATATTGTATCTTTATATTTTAAATGTTTTCAGATCTTACATTTAACTATGAATTTTTTAAGAGCAGGGATTTTTAAATTTACCACCATTTACCTTATGCTTGAAACAGAGATAAGCTCTCTGTGCCAGGCACTGTTCTTATCTTCAGGCCTCATGATCAGTATTTAAAATATGCACCTAGAGATAAATTTGAATATGCAGTATAAAATGGACATTTGTAACAGATCACTGTTGGGATTGTTTTTTTCCAGGCACCAGTACGTAACCCAGATCAGTTCAAAGCTCTTGGATTGGTGACTCCAGCTGGAGTCCTCCTTGCTGGTCCTCCTGGCTGTGGGAAAACCCTGCTGGCAAAGGTATGGTGTAATTCAACTGCATGTATTTTATTTTTTATTATCAGGTAGGGTAATATGAATTTAACTTTTATATGTTACAGTGAGCTATTTTTGCATAATTTCTGTTAGACGTTTATTTTAAGAAGACTGATGGTTTTTTTCAGTAAAGTTTCCTACTTTTAATTACAAAAGGTACATCACTGAAAATTTGGAAAAGAAAAAAAATCTAAATCAACCATAACCCATCAATTTTAACATAGCAATTATATTTTCTGTGTATTATATTCTAGCTTTTTAATGAGCATTATTGCATAGTTGTAGTTTGTAGCTGACCTTATTTCCTGCTGTGGTAGAGTTACCATTTATAACGTAAGTATTTTCCTCTGTGTTCCTTACTACAATTGTTATTTTTTAAAATTGGATTTTTACAATAGAAAATAAGGATAAGCAAAAGATAAAAGCATTATTTATAATCTTCTCACTATTTCCTACTAGTAACCACTATTTGATTTTGTTTTTTGTCCTTCCAGGTGTTCTTCTGGGCATACATATCAAGATAATATGCATAACTTTTGCACATAGATTTACAAATAGAAGGTTTTTAAACATGTATTTCTTACTTAGCAATATTTCTTAAACAGCTTCCCATGTCAGTACTATATATACACATCAGTATTTTTAATGCCTGCGTAGTATTCTTCCGTAAAGATATTCATAATTTACGGAAATGATCCCATATTAAACCAACAGTGCATTAAACAGTCCTATACTTAAACGTTTTTGTATATTGATGGGTAATTTTAATAGAACGCATTCCTAAATAACTTTTCAGTACAAAGAATACGTATATTTAAAGTTTTTGATCCATTGCCATGTGATCAAAATGATCCATTACCAAATTGCCTTCTAAAAAGTTTATACCAGATTTCACCCTGTCAATAGGGTATCAGTATCTACTTCCCCACACCCTAAATTAGCAATAGCCATTAGTGTTGTTTTTGATGTTTGACAATCTGATAAGTAAAAATGGGGTCTTACAGTTTTTAAGTTACATTTTAAAAACTACTAGTAGGCTCTTTAAAATATATGTTTATTGGCTATTTTTCTTTATGAATTGTCTGTTCGTATCGTTTGTTCTTCTATTGACATGCGTGATTTTATTTATAATCATTCTTCATATATTAAGATGTTTTATTTGTAGTTTTTCAGTTTATTTTGGCCTTTTTACTTTATTGATCATATTTTTGACACTTTTTGGTGTGGTTTTTTTTTCGGAGTTTTGTGGGCAAATTTCTCAGTCTTTATGTGATTCCCCCCTCCTTGGAAGCATCATGCTTATTTTTAAACTTATTTATTTTTGATGTGTATATATTAAAGCCCATTTTTTGTTGTTTTATTTTTGGGGGGAGGTAATTAGGTCTATTTATTTTTTAATGAGGGTAGTGAAGAATGAACCCAGGACCTTGTGTATGCTAAGTACTCACTCTACCACTGAGATATACCACCTTCCTCTAGAACCATTCTTCTTATTTGTAAGTTATATTAGCCATCGTTATTCTTGTCTTTATAATATTCTATCTATAATTTGCTTAATCTGCTTCAGCCTTTAAACATATTTGAATTACTTATAAATAAGAATAAATAAGTAATTTGTGCCTCCTCAGTGAATACCCAATATCCGCAGTGCCATTTGCTCATGTATATATATGTATGTATATGTGTATATGCTATACATGTAAATTTTTTTGAACTTATTTTTACTCATCATACTAAATTTCCTTGCTTAACGCTTCCAGTAGTCTTACAAGGCATTGCTATAAAGGAGTTTGGGAATAAAGGAGAACAAGGAGAACACCACAGTTGTTGCTCTACATTCTTTCACAACAGTTTTAGAAAACCATGGCCAGACGGAAGGTCCTGCATGCTAACATGTGAATTCACCAGGTGGATGCACTTCCCTCACCTGGGTACCTTATAATATTTGTGTTTTAATTAGTTAATCTGCCTTTGACTAGTCCTATTCAGAGCAGAAAGGAGATAGCATGGATAATTTGAAATCTATAATATTAAGATGTCATAGATCACTGGACAAAGAAATTGCGATATATTTATACAATGTAATACTACTCAGCCATAAAAAAGAATAAAATAATGCCATTTGCAGCAATATGGATGGACCTGGAAGATCGTCATTTAAGTGAAGTAAGCCAGAAAGAGAAAGAAAAATACCATATGACATTACTCATATGTGGAATCTAAACAAAAAGAAAAAAGTTACAAATGAAATTATCTGTAAAACAGAAACAGACTCACAGAAATAGAAGACAATCTTATAGTTACCGGAGGGGAAAGGAGGTAGGAAGGGATAAATTGGGAGATTGAGATCTGCAGATACTGTCTACTATATATAAAATAGATAAACAATAAGTTTTTGCTGCATAACACAAGGAACTGTGTTCAATATCTTATAGTAACCTATAATGAAAAAGAATATGAAAACGAATATATGTGTGTGTATGTATGACTGAAACATTATACTGTACACCAAAAATTGGCACAACGTTGTAAACTATGTTTCCAAAAGAAAAATCATAAATCAGATTTTTCCTCTTCTCCCAACTTTTCCCTTCCCAAGTTGCCAGCAACTTGGAACCTCTCTGTTCAGTCACATTTCTGGTATCTGACCATTTGAAACAGGGAATCTTACCTAGGGCTCCACGGATGAACTTTAGCAGCTCAGTGGATCCATGAGCTTAGGCAATATATTATGAGTATTGTATTTTTTCCAGGAAGAGAGTTCACCATAATGAAATTTTTCTAAACACTGGTACATAGTAAGTATATAAACAGCATCAAGACATGTCATTGCTGGAGCTGATACACGGAAAATTGATGACCAATAAGAAGGCAACTGAAAGAGAATAGTAAAAATCATTTAGTTATCTGGAACTATATAGTATGGAAGCAAACAGCTCCTAACACTGGGTATAAGATTCATAATGATATCCATGAAAAAATTAAATTATGTTTGCTGTGTTTCATTTGGAAGACAAGATCTCTGATAATTTCAGGAACTACTGGGCATTTTAATGGGTGAAATCTTAGTTATCTGATATATGGATAGTGAAAACCTAATGTAGATTAATCATACTTAGTTAGATATGTATCCTAACTCTACTTAGATTGTGAGAGGTAGAAAAGTTAAGAAATTGGCAGCAGGAAAGACAGATTGCAAGATGTGGGTAAGCTACACGTTGAGCAATTTTTGCATGGCATTGCATGCATGCATTCATTTGCTCAGCACATATTTACTGAACTATTTCCTCTTTGTCAGAAATTATTTAAGATGCTAGGGACAAACAAGTGAACAAGACACCTACTCTAAAGGAATTTATTGTTTGTCTGGAAGAGGCAGGCAGTAAACAAAACAAAATTGCGGATTCAGCTAAGTTATGGTGGGAGTTATTCAAGGAGTGGTGATATTTAACAGAATCCTGAAGGACTAGCTAGCCAAATGAAGATGCAGGGATAGGAGAGCTAAATATTTCAAATTGTACTGGAAGATAAATGAGAAACATAGTAAAATGGTGTGTTCTGATTTACATTTTGAAGCATTCTCTGACATTGGAGAATGGACGGGAGGATAACAAGAGTGAAAGGAAGCCAGTTAGGGTATTTTTGGTTTGGTTTAGTTTGGGGGTTTTTTTTGTTTGTTTGTTTGTTTGTTTTCCCCCAAGTCCAGACAAAAGATGATAGTGGTCTGGGTGAGGGTGATGATATAATGAAGAAATAGGAAGTGTCAGACTCACATATATTTTAGTTTTAGAGCTAATGGAAGTTACAGATAGATTGGATGACCTAACAAGCAATCGAGGAAGACACCACGGTTTTGACCTAGAAAATGTATTTACTGAGATGGGAAGGAAAAGTTTGGGGTATAGGGTTTGAAGAGAGTTGTGAGATTCAGGAGTTTGGTTTGGAAATGATAGATTTGAAATACTTGTAAGATCCAAATGGAGATGCTGAGAAGTATGTTGAACGTAAATCTTGAACATAACTCAGACATCAGGTTGTAAGAATAGGGAAGAATTCTATTCCCTGATCATTTTGAAATTCTGAGTGATTTTCTTTGAATTTTATCTCTGGATTCAGATTATAATTTTTGGATTTATTTATACATATAACCATATGTTTCTCCTTTGTTATTCTCTTCAGCTTTGAGCCATGCAGTTTAATCTTCATTTATTAAAAATAATCTGCAAATACTGTAAAGCTTGATACTGATGATTTGAATTTTGGTTTATAAATGAATGAATGATTGCTTTCGTTGGGCAGGGCATTTGTTTATACAGAAATTATGACTTCACTAGAATTCTGAGGTAGGGCTTCAGATGCACTTACATATAACATGTTTGTGTAAATAATATTTACATAAATGTTTCATGTCATTTCATTTCAATCTAATTTCTAGTCTGAGTAATTCATAGAAAATTTTAAGTTAACATTTACTTCCTCTGATTTTCTTTTTATCCATTTCTCCTTTTCCCATTTGTCTTCTCTCCTTCTGATGAGAAAGAGGTGACTGTAAAAGGGGGGAAATAGAGTGTAAACCACAAAAGGCACTTGCATCATCACAAATTATTGTTATTATTATTTTATTGTCTGTTTCCTAATTTGTGTCTTTTTGTTTTCTCTTACTAGGCTGTTGCAAATGAGTCTGGGCTGAATTTTATATCTGTCAAGGGACCTGAATTACTAAATATGGTAAGTTGTGGCATTAGCCATTATTTTTGATTAGGAAAAGTAATAGTCATTCATATTATAGGGCCCTCAGATTGTTGAAACAGTTGTGGTATTTTGGTAAAGTCACTGCTTTAGGAATGAAAAGGTTGAGCTTTGCTCTGCTATACTGTTAAGTGTGTATAAGTGCTTTCTTAATTAAGTCTGTTAACCTCTGAGCCTAAGTTTTCTCACCAGCAAAATGGAAATAATCAAAGTAGTTGACATTTTAAGGCATTAATTCTGTATTTGTCAAGCACTTTACATATATTATTCTTCAGCAGCCCTGTGAGATAGGAATTATTCTCTCCTCTGATTCACAGATGAGGAAACTTAAGTTTGGAGGGTTCATGTAACTTGGCCAATGACAGCTTGGGGATAGTAGAGCTGAGATTTAAATCTGGGTTGTCTGACTCCTGACCTGCTTTCCTTGTCCTGTTGTTGTGTAGTTTGAGTGAGTTAAGTGTTAATAAATAAAAATGCTTTGGGGGAACTAATGTACTCTATAACAACTCTTTCTGCATTTAAGCAGGTTACATCTCAAATTTAAGAGACTTTGAATTTCTTATTTCCTGTTTATCTGTACGAAATGTAGTAATATTCAAACAAGAAATGACAGTGTTACCATTTGTTTTAAAAGGCTTTTAAAATTTATCTTCTCTCGCACTTTTATGTTTCCTACTGAATATATTACTTTCCTCCTAAAATAAGAATTCATTCTTTACTTTTCCTACACTCCATTTTGGCCTTCTAGAGGAGATATTAGAAATAAGCCTTGAAGGGGAGGGGATTGATAGGGGATAAGGCTGGAAAGGAAAGTTATAGCCGGACAGCGAAGGGCCTTCATGCCAAGCTAGAGTTGGAATTTTACCTTCAGAATTTCAGAGAGCTAACAGAGTGTAACATTTTTTTTAGGAGTAAAATTTTCAAATTTCTTGTGAAATATTTCAAACATATAAGAAGTTATAAAGTAATATAATGAACTCCCATGTCTCTGTCACTCAGCTTAAATATATATATATTTGAAGCCCCCTGCAGAACTACCCTAATCATGACCTCTGTTCCCTTTCCCATAGAGTTTACCATAATCCTGAATTTGGTGTTTATTAATTCTGTGCACTTCTTTCTACATTTACTATATATGTATTTATCCCTAAATAACATGTAGTATTATTTTACCTGTTTCAAAAATAAGCTTATGAGACAATTGAAGACAATTGAACACAACTGATTATGAGTAAATTTGAACACTTAACTGGATATTTTATATTAAGAAGATAACTTTTAAATGTGTTAATGATGTAGTTATGTTAAAAAATCATTTTCTTTTAGACATAGTAAAATATTTACAAATAAAATTGTGATGTCTTGGATTTCCTTCAAAATAACAAGGAGAAAGAAAAGTGAACAGGTTATAAATGAAGCAAGGTTGATAGTGAATTGAGTTGATAATGAAACAGGGTGATGGATATATTGTGGGTTCATTATACTATTATGTCGACTTTTGTTATATGTTTGGAACTCTTTACAAATGGTAAAGCAAAAACAAATTTCCTTTTATAAATGGTATGTGTTCTTTTGTAACTTGATTTTTTTGTTATTTTTGTTTAACATTATATATTTGTTGATAGATTTCCTCTAGTTATTTTCTGTGTAGTATTCCATTGAATGAGTATAATCACACTTGTAAAAATTCAGGTTTTTTTCTTTTTCTTTTTTTAATTGAAATATAGTTGATTTACAATGCTGTGTTAGTTTCTGGTGTACAGCATAGTGATTCAGTTATACATATGTATGTATTGTATGTGTTCTTTTTCATATTCTTTTCCATTATGGTTTATTACAGGGTATTGAATATAGTTCCCTGTGCTATACAGTAGGACTTTATTGTTTACTTTATATATAGTAGTTTGTATCTGCTAATCCCAAACATTTAATTTATCCCTCCCCCACTTCACTTTCCCCTTTGGTAACCATAAGTTTGTTTTCTATCTCTGTGAGTCTCTTTCTGTTTTATAAATAAGTTTACTTGTATAAATTTTTTAGATTCCACATATAAGTGATACGTATTTGTCTTTCTCTTTCCAGCTTATTTCGGTTAGTATGATAATCTCTAGGTCCATCCACGTTGCTGCAAATGTCATTATTTCACTTTATGGCTGAGTAGTATTCCATTCTATATATATACCACATCTTCTTTATCTGTTCATCTGTCAATGGACATTTAGGTTCCTTCCATGTCTTGGCTATTGTAAATAGTGCCACTGTGAACATTGGGGTCCATATGTCTTTTTGAATTAGAGTTTTCTTGGGAAATAGGCCCAGGAGTGGGATTGCTGGATCATATGGTAACTCTATTTTTAGTTTTTTAAGGAAAAACGTACTGTTTTCCATAGTGGTGGCACCAATTTACATTCCCAACAACAGTATAGGAGGGTTCCCTTTTCTCCACACCCTCTCCAGCATGGCCATTCTGACTGGTATGAAGTGACACTTCATTGTAGTTTTGATTTGCATTTCTCTAATAGGTAGGTAGGTTGAGTATCTTTTCACGTAGCTATTGGCCATTTGTATGTCTTCTTTGGAGAAATGTCTATTTAGGTCTACTGCCCATTTTTTGATTGGCTTTTTGTTTGTTTTGTTTTGTTGTTGTTGTTGTTGAGTTATGTGAGCTGTTTGTATATTTGGAAATTAAGCCCTTGTCCATTGCATCTTTTGCAAATATTTTCTCCCATTCTGTAGGTTGTCTTTTCATTTTATTGATGGTTTCCTTTGCTGTGTAAAAGCTTATAAGTTCAACTAGGTCCCATTTGTTTATTTTTCTTTTATTTCTATTGCCTCAGTAGACTGCCCTAGGAGAACATAGCTATGATTTATATCAGAGAATGTTTTGCCTGTGTTTTCTTCTAGGAGATTTATGGTGTCCTGTCTTATGTTTAAGTCTTTAAGCCATTTTGAGTTTATTTTTGTGTATGGTGTGAGGACTGTTCTAGCTTTATTGGTTTACATGTGGCTGTCCAGCTTTCCCAACACCACTTCCTAAAGAGACTGTCTTTTCTCCGTTATATATTCTTGCCTCCTTTGTTGAAGATTAATTGTCCTTAGGTGTGTGGGTTTATTTATGGGCTCTCTGTTCTGTTCCATTGATCCATGTATCTGTTTTTGTGCCACTGTTTTGACTACTGTAGCTTTGTAGTATTATCTGAAGTTTGGGAGGGTAATGCCTCCAGCTTTATTCTTTTTCTTCAAGGGTTGCTTTAGCAGTTCTGGGTCTTTTGTAATTCCATATGAATTTTAGAATTATTTGTTCTAGTTATATGAAAAATGTCCTGGGTAATTTGATAGGGATCACATTAAATCTGTAGATTGCTTTGGGCAGTTTGGCCATTTTAACAGTATTAATTTTTCCAATCCAAGAGCATAAGATACCTTTCCATTTCTTTAAATCACCTCTAATTTCCTTTATCAAAGTCTTATACTTTTCAGCATATACGTTTTTTACCTTCTTGGTCAGGTTTATTCCAAAGTTTTGGGAGGTTTTTTTAATGCGATTTTAGAAGGAAATTATTTTTACTTTCCCTTTCTGATGTTTCATACCATATGATATAATATAGTAAATGTAGAAATAGCTTAAAAGTTATAATAGTAGAAAGTGTTATAAGAGCAAAGAAGAGAGAGCAGTGGGAAGAATGATTAACGAAGATCTTTCAGAATGCAAGGAAGACTATTTGGAGGTAGGTTGGAAAAGCAGTTCAAGTGAGAGAAGCAGAATAAACAGTACAAAGTACAGAACAGATATGAGGGGAGGAGGTTCTACTCAAAAAGAAAATAAAAATACTGTAATCACTCATCTGTGATATATTCTGCTGCTTTAATTACTTTATTATGGCCATCTGGTCATAAAATAACATAAAAGATACCTTGTGATGTAATTGGCACTGCTAAAGGTGTTTTCAGATTCTGTGTTATTTAGCAGTATTGTTACAAGAAAAAAACTTTTCTCAGTTAACTGGTTTGAAATTTTACAAGAACAATTTCTTGTGCCTAGCTAAAAGTAAAATCATATTTTGATGTATAACTTTTTATATTATTAGTCCTAATATTGCTGTTTGTGAATTGCTTTATATTTTTTTTACCTGTTTCTTTTTTTTAATTGAAGTATAGTCAGTTTACAATGTGTCAGTTAACATCCAATTAACATCCATTATGCATTTTGAAACCTATTAGATGCCTAGCTGGTTCATTGTGCCTCCTGATGCTATATGATCATGTAGCTCTTCCTGTAGCAAGATGAGTTGTGTAGAATAATTGACAGTTGGACAGTAAATTGTCTTGTTTGCATTTAAACTACTGTTGAATTAATGAAAATTACTGCTGGGTATTTTCTATGCATAAAGCTTTGTTTAATCAGTTCTAAAATACAGAATTGTGGGATTTTTGTGACCTAGAGAAAAACTTTCCATTCCATTTAGTCTTCATTTTATAAATTAGGAAATTTATAGGCTTAAGTTATAGCTAATTTTATTAAGTTGAACCACATATAATTGGCTGTTTTTATAGATCAAAATGGTTAAATGTCAGGAGTTGCATATGGTTCAACCTAGCACTTTTTAGACTGTAACATATAAATGTTACTTAACACTAATTTTACTATGATTTGGACCAAACTTCAAAGTTGAATCATCTCTACATTTCATTTCCTTTATGTGGTTAGTACGTTGGTGAGAGTGAGCGTGCTGTGCGACAGGTTTTTCAGCGAGCCAAGAACTCAGCACCCTGTGTGATATTCTTTGATGAAGTGGATGCCTTATGCCCTCGGAGATCAGTCCGAGAGGTAGGTATTATACTTTAATGATTTACGGATTTTTTTTTTAAGGCCCATAAACATTTTGTAAGTTCTTATAAAATTATATAAAGTTCAGATCGTTCTTAGAAAGTCATTCCTTGAGAACACTGAGACTCTTTAAGTGAAGAAACCTAGTAATTTGAAATTAGGACCTAGGAATAACAGTTGTATTTTTATTAGCCTCTGTTTTTTTTTTTTCTGTATATTATTTTGATTTCACATAGCTGATTCACACAAATGAGAAGTTGGGGATGGAAATAACATTAGGTTTAAATAGCCCACCTCGTAACCTTATGATTCTGTTAAGGGTTCTTGAGACAGGAGAAAATGTAATTTAAGAAATCATGCACTCAAAATAGGGTCAGATAATATGCTTTAAGACTCAGCACCATTGCTGTCTGGGGAAGATATAAAATTGGTCTGCATTAAATACCACTGGCAATGGGTAGAGGGTATAGCTCAGTGGTAGAGTGTGTGCTTAGCATGCATAAGGTCCTGGGTTCAATCCCCAGTATCTCCAGTAAAAAATAAAGCAAAGAAATAAACCTAATTACCCCCCCCAGAACAAACAAACAAAAAATAAATACCACTTGCATTACCACACTGAGTCACCGTTCTTAGAAATTTCAGTACCCGGAAACAGTTATCAGGAATACAGTTATAAAAGAGTGAAGCATAGTGAAGCATAATATAAAGAATATATAACCTTTTGAAGCAGATAGCAAGGACTGTAATAAGTACATTTTTACAAGATGATTAAGGAAGTGATTATATTTCTTCTGTGATTTAGTTTCAAATAACTATTTTGTGTGTGTTCTTGGGTTTTGAAATACTTATGAGTTGCCTCATTTTGCTTAAAATCTTCAGAAGCATTCAAAAGTTACACAAACAAAACGTGACTAGTTTAAGTGTGAGTCACATCATAGCAATTTTGTCTCTTCATCTACTAATCATCAATTTCTCGGAAAATCCCTATTACAGTCTTGTCTCTGATAATGATGTCAGTGGCCAAGGCAGAGATCCTTCCCAGGTTCCCCTGCTGACTGTCATATTCCAAAATCTAATGTGGGATTCAGAGCAAAACCCTACACATTATATCCAGCTGGTGGGGACATGGTATGCTCTGGATTTCACTCCTTTTTATTCCCTTCGCTTTTGCTATGAATAAACCCTTTGTTCATCGATAGCCTCTTTCATTAGTTTGCATCTCTCTGTTATCAACTGGTAATTGAAATAAAGAAGAATTCACTGAGCTATATCGAGACAACTCCTTGCCCTCAAGGAAGTCTGCAGCCATATGAACTACATTTCTAATTTCTAGGTGTGTCTCTCTCAGGTATCAACTACCACACGTTTCTGTACTCAGAAATGTGTTTTGCTTTAACATTTTCACCTGAAGGGGATTCTGAAAATATTTTAATTTCAAATATATTCTTCTCTTATGATGCAAGTTATACATGAATATATACTTCTGAAAAATTCAAATAAATACAAGTATAAAGAGAGTAAAGTCTTTCTTCCCATCTCCCTGTTGCTCTTCTTGGAGGTTACTACTGCTGACAGTTTAGGTCATTCTAGAACTTTTTCTGTAAGTTTGAAAACATGTATGACTTAAACATCATTTTTTATATAAATATGGTCATTCTGTCTTGACAGTTTTCCTATGTGATTTCTTAATAACTTATTTTCTTAACTATTGCATAAATATTCCACAGTCTGCATAAGGAAGAATTTATTCAATAATTCCCCTGTGTTGGGCATTTACATTGTTTCCAGCTGTTTCTCTTACAAACACAACTGTATTAAATATTCTTATCACATATTTTTGTATACCTGTCAGAATATGTGAGAGTTTTGGAGATGGAATTTCAGGGAAGAAGATATATACATCTTCTATTTTGAAAGTTAATACTAAATCATTCTTTACAAGAACTACCAGCGTACCAACAACAGTGTGTAAAAATAACCATTTCCTACACCTTTGTTAACAATGGATAATACCCATCTTTTTATTTTTCTCAATTATATTGGCAAAACATTATATTAAATTTTAGTCTTCATGTCTCTGACGTTTTTGCTATTGAAATGTTTTTCTGTGCTTGCTTTAGCAGCATTTACATTAAAACACTGAAATGTCTTTTCTTTTTAATTTATAAGAGCTTTTTATATGTGATGGAAATTAATCCATTGTCATGTGTGTTGGTACTATTTTTCTGAGTTTTATCACTTGTCTTTAATCTTTTATTATATAAAAATTATAATTTTAATATAGTAAAATCTGGCAAGCTTTTCCTAAATTGATTCTGAGGGTTTGGTCTTGCTTAGGACAGTGTTGGGTTTTTTTGGCTTTTTTGTTTTGTTTTGTTCTGGGTTTTTTTTGCCCAGTACTTATATATTTTTTAAGGTCTGGATTATAATTCTGTTAATCTCCTATTAGTGTTATGTCTCCAAGGAGTAATAATAAGGTACACCAATTTTTTTTTTCTGGAGAGATCCTGTGTTAAACTCATTACCACATCTGTACATAAAATCTATGTTGAAGAAGGCGATCAATGACAAAAAGAAACACAGCACCACTTTTCTCTTTTCCTCTATTGTACATTTAAAAAATTTCTGTATCTCAGTGATTTATCCCTCTATTCACCAACTCCCTGAACCTTTCCCTTAGATGTTGCCCTGAGGTAGCTATACTTTGTACTTATATGCTTCAGGGAAAAGAGAAAAGACCTCAGTGTCCCAGCTGAAAGATCTGGAGCATCTGATATCCTAGGGAGTCTGATCTGACGTACAAAAGCTGAATCTAGATTTGCCCAAAAGGAAAGTCACTGTGGCTGTTAGGTCTTTGAATAACTCAGCGGCATAAGACTTTGGGATCAGCTAGGCCTGAGATTGAACTTCATCTCTACCCTTATCTTGGACAGATAGCCTCTGTAAGCCTCAGTTTCCTCATCTAAATTGTGGATAATTGCAGGATTGCTGGGGAAGCACACTGATGAGAACATGTTTTGCACGGTGCCTAGATGTTGTGACGCCTCAGGAAACTCTAATTGTTTTATCTTTTGACAAAAGCTTTCATTCACGTTAGCAAATGTACTATTTTGTATGGGAAAAAAAATTCGTGATGTATTTTTCTTTTTATTGGGAGCTGACAGAACTGTATTTATTTCTTTTTAGACAGGAGCAAGTGTCCGGGTGGTAAATCAGCTACTTACAGAGATGGATGGTCTGGAAACACGTCAGCAGGTTTTTATTATGGCAGCCACTAACAGGCCAGGTAAGAAAGAAGAAGATAGAACAAATGAGTCTTAAAGGTTTTACCATTGACAGTATTATTTATATACATCCTAGTAAAGGAAGATTCAGTTTGGAAAATCCCTTTTTGGTTCATAAGTTGTAAAAAGAGTTTTTATGTAAGCTATAATTAAAAACAAAACAAAACAGTATTATTGCCTGGATTCCATGAGATTTTTTTTTCTGTGTTAATTCTTAGAAAGTTACTTTATTGGCAGAGAACACTTGCAACATATACTTTTGACCACAAAGTATTATGAGAATATATGTTCTACGGTTTTTCTCAAGCTTACAGGAAATAAGAACCAGACTCTTTTCACTGTATCTGAAGGTTGAAGATTGATTTTTAAGGTTTTATACTGGAAGCATGTCCCTATAACTGAACTGCACTTAACTTATTTAAAATTGTTTATAAGCTTACACTCTGTGAGGAAGTTCGAAAAAGGCTCAGAGCTTCAAAAGTACTGCAGGTGGCTTTTACTCTGGGTCCTAAATTCTCTTCATACTGTTTAGCACTTTGCCATCCGTACGAGCCACTCTGTCATACAGCTGCTCCTGCATTGATATTAATGTTAATGATGTCTGCCAGCAATGATATGGAACTTGAATTGCTTAAATGGATTTATTAGTTGTGAAACTGATGTAATTTTTCATTTCTTGTATGTTAATATAGATACTGAAACCTCATGAATTATATGTACCGTTTCATTTTAAAATGAAAAATTGAGAGATGTTACGATTTTTACTTCGAGTCCTTTTTGAATTAGACATAACCGGTTTTGAGTCCTGGCTGTAGCACTTCATATCTTAACTAACTTTTCTCTTTCAACCCCAGCAAGTCTACACTAACTGAGTAGACTGTATTTCAGTTCTGACACTAACCTCCTGGAGTATGTTAGGACCTGCAGGTTAAGGGAGTCAGTCGTCTACAAGACTGCCCCATGTCAGATGCCAGCTGCAAGTGGTGTCTCCAGGACACCACACTTCTGACCTTCCTGCTGCAAACTTGGGGATTCCCATGACCCCCTTGGATTCAGTAACTCACAGGAATGACTAACAGAACGCAGAAAAGCATTGTACTTAAAATTGCAGTTTATTATACAGGGTACATGTAAGTTAGGGAATGCAGAACTTCCATACCCTCTCTCTAGAGTCAGGGCACATCACCTTACTGGCACATCATTGTGTTCATTAAACAGGAAGCTCCCTCCATCTCACCCATTCCTTTGGTCACCAGAGTTTTACTGGGATTTCATAATATAGCCACAGTTGGTTGACTCATTGGCCATGTGGTTGAACTCAGTCTCCAGCCCAGCCTTACCTCCCCAGTTGTCTGCCTCTAAATTCCAGCCCTCTGATCCCATGGTTAGTCTTTCTAGACTAACCAGCTCTAACCTGAAGTTATCTTGGGTCCAACCTTGCGTCACCTCATTAGCATAACAAAGACAGTCCTGTCACCCAGGAAGGTCTGTGCCAGAAACCTGGGCAGAGACGGAATGTATTCTTTATTATACCACATTAATCCCGGGCTTCATCTTGCTACCAGTTATTTCTTCAACTATAAAATAGGGATAATGATACCTAATAGGCAGTATGGTCACAAAGGTTAAGTGATGTTGGTAATGTGTCTGCCATGGTGTGTGGCAAGGAGCTGTTTAATAATCATCATTGTCATGAGCACTTTTGGTATTAGCAGTAGGATCAGTCATTAGGTTATAAAGTCAGAGTCATCCTAGAGGAAACCTTGAAAGTCTCTCAAACTTGGACAGAATCACATCCTACCCTTCCTGAGCAGCTACAGATCTTTTCTAACAAATTTCAAGAAGACAGTCAGCTCTTTTTTCATATTTGTTTATTGCAAACACTCTTACCTTTTAGTTTAATCTCTGTAGATTAGAAAATAATAAGACTGGGTTTTACCTAAATCCCCTCCTTCGAAACAGTTCAGCTACATTACCTTTTCTCATGAATTTTTCCCCCCTGATCTTTTTAGTCATCTTTGAATTCTTTGAATTCTTCAAATTCTCCTTAGTTGTAAAACCCAGAACTGATGTTAATCATTTATGTTGTGGTTAGCCAGTGAATGACAAGGTGAATCATCCTGTGGTACCTCTGTTTTGTCCTTTCTAGTGTCTTTGAGTGTTATCTTCCTCTCCACTATACCTCACCCATCCCTTTCTCCCATAACAAACCCCATTGCAGTGAGAGTCCACATAAATTAAAAATAGATGTTCCAGATCTTTTTACTTGTATTGATGCTTATTTGGCCATTCTGTTCTGTTGTATACCATCCTGGGACATTCTGGTTTGATTGTTTATAACTTGTTTTTTGCTCAGCTTTAAGAAATCCCTTCTTGCCTGACTTTCTGGTTAGCTATTCCTGTATAACAAACTACTTCGATACTTAATGGTTGTCAAATCACCATTTTTGCATTGCTTGTAATTTTGGAGGTCAGCAGTTCAGGAAGGGCTTGTCCAGTTGGTTCGTCTCTGATCCACATGCCACCAGCTGGAGAGGCTGGGCCAGAGGATCCCCTTCGAAGGTGATGTCTTACTCACATGTCTGGTGCCTTAGTTCTCCTTGGTATCTCTTCTATCTCTCCCACCCCCAATCCCAAGTCGTCTCCATGTGGCTTGGCTTCCGTTAGCGTGGTTCTCTGAGTATTCGCACTTCTTACATGACAGCTGGATTCCAACAGATGAAGGCAGAAGCTGCCATTCCTCTTGAATTCAGGCAAGGCCCAGAACCAACAAGTTCTGTTGGTCAAGGGCAGTGACAGGAAGGGCCAGATTCAAAAGAAAAGAAATGGGAATGTAAAAAAAATTGTAGTTATCTTTACTTCTTACATATGTTTTTCTTTCATCACATTCTTTGTTGTATAACAATGCAGGTTTTGTGCATTCAGTCTTAGAGTTTGGTGTTGTAAATCAGTCATATCAATATAATTTTCTTTACTTTCTCAAAAGATTGACTCCTTTACTCATCAAATATTTATTGAATTGTTATTACATGCCCCGTCCTACTGAGCTAACAATTTAGAAAATTTTTTTACCTCTGTATATTCTGATTTGGGGCTGGAGAACAGGGGGTAAATAATAGACAAAAAATAAAATAAAATAGGGTAAGAGGATGGAGAATGACTGGTGGCTGGGGAGAGGAATGCCCATTGAGATATCATGGTACAGGAAGCCTTCTTCAGAATAAGTGACGTGAGCATGAACTCAAACAATGTGAAGGGTCGAGCCATGCAAAAATCTGGGAGAAGGCATTCCAGGTAGAGAACAAACAATAAGTGTAAAGGCCCTAAAGTGAGAACAGGTTTGGCGTCCTGGAGAATTGGCAAGAAGGCTGGTGTGTCTGGAGTGAAATGAGTCAGGGGGACACTGACGGAGAGGTGCAAGGGGCCTTTTAGGCCACTGTAGGGGATGTGGATTTTATTCTGCTGTGCTGGGAAGCCATAGGAGGGTTTTGAGTGGGGGAGTGATGTGATCTGATTTTCCATTTCTTTTTTTAAAATATGTGACTTTTTTTTTTACTCTGTATTTTGAAACAATTATAAATTCACAGGATATTATAGAAATAATGTCCAGAAGTTCCATGTACCCAGTTTACCTCAGTTGTTCATTTTTAGTAACTGTGGTACAAAATCAAAACCAGGAAATAGATATTTGTTTGATTTGTATGTCTGTTTATTTCTGTGCCATTTTAGTACATGTATAGATTCCTGCAGTCACCACTGCGATCAACACAGGAACTGTTCCGTCACCACAGAGATCTCCCTTGTGCTATCCCTGTATAGTAACAACCACCTCTCTCCCACCACCCCTAACTCAGGGCAACTGCTAATCTGTTCTCCATCTCTATAACTGTGTCACTAAGAATTTTATATAAAAGTCCTCATACAAAATGTGACCTTTTAGGTTGGTTTTATTTACCTAGGCTAATGCCCTTGAGATTGATTCAAATTCCTGTGTGTATCAGTAGTTTGTTCCCTGTCAGGGCTGAGTAGTATTCTGTGGTGTGGAGGTTCTGGTTTGTTTAACCAGTCTCTTCTTGGGCGTGTTATTGTTTCCAGTTTTTGACAGTTACAGGTAAAGCTACTATGAACATCTACATATAGGTTCTTGTGTGGACATAAGGCTGCATTTCTTTGGGATAGATGCCTAGGAGCATGATTGCTGGATCGTATAAGTATATGTTCAGTTCTTTAAAGAGATTGTCACGCTCTTCCTGAGTGGCTGTAATTTCTATTAATTCTAAGAGAGAACCAGTTTCTTTGCGTATTTGCCAGTATTTTCTGTTGTCACTATTTTTTATTTTAGCTATTCTAAGAGATCTATAGTGACAGCTCATCATGGTTTTATTTGGTGTTTCTCTAATGGCTGAAGAGAACTTTCTTTTCATGTGTTTCTTTGCCATCATTATATCTTCTTCAGCAAATTGTTTCTTTGTGTCCTTTGCCCGTTTCATTTTCTAGAAGTGGGACTGTATATATATTTTTTATTATTGAGTTTTGAGAGTTCTTTATGTATTCTAGATGTGAGTCCTTTGTCGTGTATGTGATGTGCAGTATTTAGTCCCAGTCTGTAGCTTGTCTTTTCGTCATCTTAACCACAGAGATCCAATGTTAATGTTCCCTTTTATATATTGTACTATGGAGATCATGTCTAAGATCTGTTTTTCAGAACTATATCCCAAAGATTTTCTCCAGTGTTTTCTTCTAAAAGTTGTATGGTTTTATGTTTTACATTTAAACCTGTGATCCATTTTTAGTTAACTTTTATGTGAGGTGCAAAGTTTTATTAGGTGAAAGGTTTTTCTCCTCTATGGATATCCAGTTGTTCCACCACCATTTGAAGAGACTATCCTTTCTCCATTGAATCACTTTTGTACCTTTGTCAAAAATCAATTGGTAAATACCAGCAGTGAACAACTGAAATTTAAAAATAAAAACACAATACCATTTACTTTGGCACCAACAG